TATAATAGCACGAGCAAAGTTAGAATCGCTCGGACGTGAAGACAAGCTTTCTCCTATACCGCTAAACGCAAACGGTTAAAAAAAAAAATAAAGCAGTTGAGTTTTTTGGAACATCGGCATGCACTGCGAAAATAAATTTCGTTTACCCGTTTATTGCAGCAAAAGCTGAGAGCAGGCACACGATGAAATGTGTGCCTGCTCTCAGCCTTGCGTCTAAATAGAGTTGCGTGGGCAAGGACTGCGTTGCTAGCGGGAGCTCGTGCCGTCGCTTTGAGCAACAATTCGGCACTCCCCCGCAAGGCTCGCAATCCTTAGCGTGCGCTCTACTAAAACGTTTTAGTATCTCGAAGGAAGTGCGTTTGGAGACTCGGCATCGCTGGAGTTAGGCAAATAAATGACACCACTATGCGTGTAAAACAGGACTTTTCGGTAATTTTTAGCATCACCGATCGTTTTGTCAATCCAGCAGCTTGGTTTACTTCATACACATTTTATAAGCGCCGAATACCACCTGCAACTGTGCACATGCGCGCGGTGGAATATGCGACGTCTGCTGTTTACGAGCCTCGTGCATAAAACTACCCATCAAATAATCAAATACACTAACTTGTATCCCCTCCGATAAAATGAAAAATTGCGTGTGCTCGGTTGCCTTGCCAGCACGTTTCTCATTTGTCGCATATATTAGTGTTTTGACGTTCTCACGCGCGAGGTACACCCTTGAGTTCACTCTCAAAGCGCATAAGCTTTGCCGCACACCCGCGGGCGTACTGTACTGTGGGAGTTACAAAACGAAGACTAAGAGATCCTTCAGCAAAGCCTTTTAAATACAAGATAACTTTTTTATTGTCAATAATTGATGTTTTATTAATCACAAAAGACAAATCACATACAAAGATGAAGACAAAAAAATATTTATTGCTACAAGGCAAAATATTGCACATTCGAAAGAGGTCGGTGTGAAAAAATAGAAGGATTTGCATATGGCTTGAGTTTCTTGAGGCCAGTCTTTGCCAAGATCACTGGTACAAACTGATGGTTCGTGGAGTGATCCTGAAAAATAAATGCAACATCGCATATTTTTAGTTGCCATTTGTGAAGCACCAATCGCGGAAATATGTTGCACAAACAAAATCGCGAGGTGCTCGATCGTTGGTGACTCTCCTTTCACTGACGCAAGACGCACGCGGTAACAATACAACCCTTTTTATTTTAGTGGCACCCTATCTCTCGCGCATCGTTCTAAACTCGGCCGACTCAATGCAAGCAAGCTAAGAGTGAGCGAGTCAGTTTATATCCTCAAACACGCGCGAAAAGACGTGTCTAAGTCCTTCGTGACGGTAGTATAGTTCCGTGTTTGTCTCTTCTTATGACCGTAATATGCGATCTTCATCGGCGAGACCGAAAGAGACAGGTAATACGATTCAGAGTTTGACAATGACTTACCTCGCAAAGTCTCCCTCGGAGGCAATCGAAACTTTTCCGACCGATCTGGTGGAGCCATTGTCTTCGCCGTTAAAGATTTTCCTTTCCCGTCGGGACGGCAAAAAAGCTTCTTTCCTTGCGCAATGCTGTTTGTGCGACATACAGCGCAGCATGATGGCATCGCGTTGCCGCCGAGGTTGTGGTAAAATATAAAAAAAAATACCTACGGCCGGGCCGCGAACAACGGAGCCGCCGCTTCGCCTGGCCCACTGATGGCGTTGGTTTCGAGCAGAGGACCGAATCGCGCGGGATCATGGGAAGACAACGGTCACGTGTCACGCCAGATCCAATTGAAGCGAGGGGAAAGAGAACTTTTAAGAAGGAAAGGGCATCGGCGAGGAGAAATTTCTCTTCCCCATTTCAGACAATGGTTTGCGCTACCTTTCAGTATACAGGGTCCTTAGCTATCGCAGCTCCGCCCCGCACATCCGGGTCCTTTCCACGCTCGCCGCTTCACAGCAATGCCAATGCATGGCGCGCGTCGGCGCCTGATCTAAGTACCCCTCCTCTCTAGTTCACTACAGCGAAGGTACAGAGAAGGAGCTCTTAGCAGTTGGATCCAGGGTGCGAGCGCTGGGTCGGACATCAAACCCGAGGGACCGGATAGACGTCCTTCTTGGCGCTTAGTTGCATGTGGTCCTTCTTGACCCCTGAGGGAGTCTACTTCAGAGCTTGGATGTCGATGAGCATTTCTCGTCCTCTGGGTGCCTCCTTTTACGGCGCTGTTATGGGCTTTTCCCTCCACTGGAAAGGACGTCCGTTGTTGTGGACGTAGGGCGTCCGCCGTCCATCTCACCAAATGCTTGAAAATGCGGAACTCTCAGGATTCGATCTTGGGTTTGCTGCGTGTTAGGCGGGTCCATTACCACAAAGCTACGAACGCAGCTTTGACAACCCGTTTTATCTAAGATATTTTAGAAACATACGTGCGCGTGTGAGTGTCGTGTAGTGCCCGCTAGACGATTACAGTTGCTGTGACGTCGGTATTGACAATTCTTTGTCATTCTTAATTAATTAAAAAAAATAACTGGAGTTTATTGTTGAAATCAATAGCTTCGGCAAGGCGGCGCACGCTGCCGCCAGATTAAGAGTGTTTGGCCGTATCTATCCATACAATTGCCCTCTAAGTAATGACGTCACAACATGGCGCTGTGCTCTAAACAAACCTTTGCTAGGGCCGTCGTTATGGACAAATGCATCCGGGCTCGACGCGGGGTCAGAACTTGTCTGATATAAAAGTGAATAATTCCTGTTAAGTCAGTTTATAAAGAGTTGTATACGTAAAGACAGGGGACGGGACAACACATCTTTCAACTTTCAACCCCTGTCTTTACGTATTTAACTCTTTCTAAACTTACATCATTACCAACGCGCTCACTAGCAAGTAAATTCTTTTGAAGCATTGTGCTTTCTCAATATGTTATCACGAAGGGGATCGGTGGCCGAGTCAGTTAGCGCACACCAGCTCGGAGCACGTGGAACGAAAGCTTGCTCTGCAGAACAAAGGATCCTGGGTTCAATCCCCGCCCCTGCCCGTTTCGAACTGGATGAGCATCGTACCGGCGTGCGGTCGTGTATCACTACTGCGTGGTGCACGCTAAAGACCCCAGTCTAGCGGCTGTACCACACTGGTTAAATTTCTCATCTACAGCAAGGAGACTCGTCGCCCGTTGAGGCAGACCAAGTTCTAGGCTGTATAAACATACACATAACCCAATTTCTGTCATCTAATCACGAATACTTTTCTTTATCGCCTTAGTGGCATGTAGTGATGATAAAAGTCCGTAATAAAGATTTCCGTCCGGTTGCCTTGTTTGCAGACGGCACGATGGCTTCGCGAGCCTGCACTTTGGTTCAGTGATCCTTTCTGATGGTGCACGCGACTGCGTTGAATGAAGACAGTGACGAGCAAAGAAGCTTCAGTTCTCCGGGTCAACATTCTCTGGGATTTCGGAAGCAAAAAGTGCCCGTGCACAGGTTTAATGAACGTTCGAGGTGCGCAAACGCGCGAACGCATAAAAAAAAAAAATAAATATATATATATAAAAAAAAAAATATATATATATATATATATATATATATATATATATATATATATATATATATATATATATATATATATATATATATATATATGATGGGAATGGGGGAGTGAAAATTGACAAATGCAGCCGTAGTAATATTGTGAACGAAGAGGGGAGAAAGTGATTATTTAATTTATTGCATTAAAGTTAGGGAAAGGAAAAGGGGAAGAGAGCTGGCGAAAAATTGGGCCAGGAGCGGGGATTGAACCCGCAACCTTCGCCTGTCATCCCGGCCACTGGTTTCGGCGGACTAAATTTCTGACCAGCTCTCTGTGTACTGTTTAGTTTCGAATTCGCTTAACTTGGTAGACGGCAATTGTTGCTGATTTAAGGCCCGCGCTATTTCCGACATGCGGCAGTGACGTGGGAAGTCATCTCAGCTTGCAAATGTCGGAAAGGGCCCGTCTTCCAAGATATCTAGGGAACCACTCCTCCCCATAGGGACAGGCTGCACCGTATATATAATGGGAATGAGTAAAGATTGACAAGTGCAGCCGTAGTAATATTGTGAACGAAGAGGGGAGAAGGTAATTATTGAATTTACTGCACATGCTGCAAGGTGCAGACAAAATTTGTGGACACCTGTCGTTGCCTCCGCAAGCGTCCAGCCGAGTTCACACTACGGTCGTAACAACCGGAGCGCCGATTGGCCACATTTACGGCACCCAAAAAACGGGCCACTTGGCGCCTTCACAGATGCGCAGCACAGAGCGATTTCATGCGTTAGAAAACATGACTGCGCTTTGAAGACGGAGACATAGGAAGGACAGACACCACAGAGCGCTGTGGTGTCTGTCCTTCCTATGTCCCCGTCTTCAAAGCGCAATCATGTTTTCTAACGTACCATACCAACTTGTCCAACAATCAGCACTTGTCGATTTCATGCGACTAAGTTCTGACCATCGCGGGTGAGAACGTTGTCGAAGCAAGTCTGCCAGGGAAATTAACGAGGTCTTTTTTATTATTGCTAGCTATGACGCGGCCATGTGTGTAAGCGCTCCGTCCATAGCCCTAGCGAGTGACGAGGCTGATTTTATCTGGAAGTCGGGCGAGTACGTGTGGGGGTGTGTCGTCATGATGGCCGAGGGGTGTGCCATCGGGTCGATTGTTTTCGTGTCTATCCGCTTGTTTTTACGTTTACTTGCTGTACCGTGCACAAGTTAAATTTTCAGTTGTAAGTCAGCGCTGTGTCTGTTCTCCTTTCACCAATCCTACGTATTATTTTTCCGTTTTAATATTATTTTAACAGAAACCGAAGCCCTTATGTATATACGGTGATTTGCAGGTCAGTCCTCCTTTGTGTCGCGGTTGGCCACGCCAGCCAGAGTATTGTGGAGCGAAACATGAACGCGGAAGTCTTCGTTTGGAGCGAAGGCGAAGCAACCTTTTATTTTGAGCGCCAACAGAGTGATGGAATCTGTACTCTTGCAGTTGGGTGACTCCGCTGTTCAAGAAGGGCTACCGGAGGACGCTCCAGGTGGAAGACCTCTACGCCTGTCCCAAGTGGGAGCGATCCGAACGCAAGACCGACCGGCTACAGGCGTGAGTCTCGTTCCTAGTGCGCACTGCCTGTATCCTCTCCGCCACTCTGCGGGTCAAAACGCACGTGCTCTTATTGGCTGAGTGAAAAACAAAATAGTGGGTAGACCTCAAGGCCTCTAGCATTGAGGCCTACCCACTATCCTATCAATCAAAGCCAATCAGAGCTCGGCGTAGCTCTGACGTCACATCAACTGCTGGGCAAGAAGCAGACGACTTGATCTCCGCTTTATTTATGAAGTGTCAGCCCGTTGGCTCGGAGCCGGTTAGCTTTAACCGGCTCGTGTCGCCTACTGACTGTAGCAAAAATAAGTGGCTTTCGTGGGAAAAGTTCTGGAATTCGAGTAGGGCACCTACTCGAATTCCAGAAATTTTGGATTTTCGCCATGTAGCGCGGCATATATACATTTGAGCTTAACAAACTTTGTTTTTTCGCTCGTGGTACAAATAAGGGGTAAGGTAAAAAGGGATCAATCCGTGTTTCCCAAATTATTCAATGCTTGGCTGTCTAAAGTCAAGACAAGCCTCGTCGAAATTTCTTTGCTGTGCGAAAAGGGACGGCCAAGTTCAGTGTTAGGAACGATGAGGATAGAGAAGCAGTGTTGGGAAGTGTTTTAAGTACATTTACTTAAAGTGCTACTTTAAGTGGGTTTACAAACGTGTACTAGACTTCAAGTACATTCTCTTAGTATGTACTTGTACTATTACTTTATGTTGTTTTTTTCTGGTACTTTCCGACCAACGTACAACTCCCAACTTCAGAGTACATTCCCCAAATTCCGTGGAATCTTTTTGCCACGAAAGCAGGGTATAAAGCAGCTCCCTATAGAAACAATGGTAGACAAGGGACACACACAAAGTGCCTTTTGGGAAACCGAGATTACCCTGTTGTTTTCGGCATCCACTGCCCAACCTTATCTGTTGGAGTGCGGATTTATGTCTTGTGGCCAACTCGGTAGACAATATCCGTGCTGCTGGGTGCCCGCAAGACTTTTTATCGTCCTCAGAAGGCAATAACTATACTTCATATGCTGTGTAAAGCGCTGAGAAAAGCACGGGGACGAGCGCGTTGACCTGGGCAGTGTCTTCTTGCGCTCGGTGGAATTAGCTTTTTCAAGGACCACGTGCTCGCGCCCTTGGCTTTGCCTGTACTAGATTACACAACTTCTGAGGTCGAGTATAAGCGTTCACCATCCCCTAAAAAAAAAAAAAAAAAAAAAAAAAAAAAAAAAAAAAAAAAAAATACATGGCGTATCGTCATGTGATAACGTGCCATTGTTTTTCGAGACGTTATCCGGTTACTTCAAAATTAAGTAATGACGACTCTATGACCCATACAAGTAAGTGCTTTATAAGTTATAAGTTAACTGTTAAATAACTCATCACCGAGAGTAAAACAAAGACTCTGTGGCCACTTCACCTTACACAGTATTCACCGCCGTGCCCAAAAATAAGTGATGCACCCCCGTTACTCCTGGGGCAATGGATACCAGTTTAAAGGAAACACAGTATAAGCAAATAAAACGGCATAATTAAAGATTGTGCTAAAAGTATTTGTATTTTACTTTGCAAGTACATTGCATTTATAGCATTTTACTTCAAGTACATGGCATCCGGTATACTTATTATTATACTGAAATTACATGACCTCTCGTTTACTTTGTATTTTACTTCAAGTACTTTTTAAATGTACTTTACATAACACTGGTCAAAGAAATGAGCAGTGAAAGGCCCGCCGGCAGCATGGTTGGCCACCATGTAAGACCCATACATAAAACCTTATTCATAAAATGAAAATCGAGTACTTCGGCTCCAGTAGAACTTAGTACACGGTCTGCTTTTGCGTACCATCAATGCCCGGCCGATCGAATCGATAAAATGGACCGGCTGGACCAGGACCGGCTGGGAGGAGATTAGGCCTCTTGCGACGGCTTAGGACGTGCACTCCAGCTGCGCATCTGGTCCTACGAAGTCGCAAGAGGCTGAAAAACTGGTCTTGTCTCACTCGGTCGTACTCGGTTGCAAATATGTGAACGGGCCTTAAAGGCACACATTTGCGACCAACAGCGACCGACTGAGAAATGACCGGCCTCTTGCGATGGCTCACGACAGAGTGTGCAGCAATGTAGTCAGTCGTCAGCCGTCACCAGAGGCTTAGAAAACAGTCTTGTCTCAGTTGGACGTAGTTAAACACAAGTGCGTGAACGAGCCTTAAAGGCACACACTTGCGACCGACTACGACCGAGGCAAGACCGGCCTCTAGCGACGACTTGCAACCAACTGCGCAGCAATGCAGCCGGTCGTAAGCCCTCCCAAGTGGCTTAGAAAACGGTCTTATTTCAGTCGGTCGTAGTTAAACGCAAGTGCATGAACGGGCCTTAAAGGCACACACTTGCGACCAACTACTACCGACTGAAACGAGACCGACCTCTAGAAACGGTTTACGACCGACTGCGCAGCAGTGCAGCCGGTCGTAAGCCGTCCCAAGTGGCTTAGAAAACGGTCTTATTTTAGTCGGTCGTAGTTAAACGCAAGTGCATGAACGGGCCTTAAAGGCACACACTTGCGACCAACTACTACCGACTGAAACGAGACCGACCTCTAGAAACGGCTTACGACCGACTGCGCAGCAGTGCAGCCGGTCGTAAGCCGTCCCAAGTGGCTTAGAAAACGGTCTTATTTCAGTCAGTCGTAGTTAAACGCAAGTGCATGAACGGGCCTTAAAGGCACACACTTGCGACCAACTACTACCGACTGAAACGAGACCGACCTCTAGAAACGGCTTACGACCGACTGCGCAGCAGTGCAGCCGGTCGTAAGCCCTCCCAAGTGGCTTAGAAAACGGTCTTATTTCAGTCGGTCGTAGTTAAACGCAAGTGCATGAACGGGCCTTAAAGGCACACACTTGCGACCAACTACTACCGACTGAAACGAGACCGACCTCTAGAAACGGTTTACGACCGACTGCGCAGCAGTGCAGCCGGTCGTAAGCCGTCCCAAGTGGCTTAGAAAACGGTCTTATTTTAGTCGGTCGTAGTTAAACGCAAGTGCATGAACGGGCCTTAAAGGCACACACTTGCGACCGACTACTACCGACTGAAACGAGACCGACCTCTAGAAACGGTTTACGACCGACTGCGCAGCAGTGCAGCCGGTCGTAAGCCCTCCCAAGTGGCTTAGAAAACGGTCTTATTTCAGTCGGTCGTAGTTAAACGCAAGTGCATGAACGGGCCTTAAAGGCACACACTTGCGACCAACTACTACCGACTGAAACACGACCGACCTCTAGAAACGGTTTACGACCGACTGCGCAGCAGTGCAGCCGGTCGTAAGCCGTCCCAAGTGGCTTAGAAAACGGTCTTATTTTAGTCGGTCGTAGTTAAACGCAAGTGCATGAACGGGCCTTAAAGGCACACACTTGCGACCAACTACTACCGACTGAAACGAGACCGACCTCTAGAAACGGCTTACGACCGACTGCGCAGCAGTGCAGCCGGTCGTAAGCCGTCCCAAGTGGCTTAGAAAACGGTCTTATTTCAGTCGGTCGTAGTTAAACGAAAGCGCATGAACGGGCCTTAAAGGCACACACTTGCGACCAACTACTACCGACTGAAACGAGACCGACCTCTAGAAACGGCTTACGACCGACTGCGCAGCAGTGCAGCCGGTCGTAAGCCGTCCCAAGTGGCTTAGAAAACGGTCTTGTTTTAGTCGGTCGTAGTTAAACGCAAGTGCATGAACGGGCCTTAAAGGCACACACTTGCGACCGACTACTACCGACTGAAACGAGACTGACCTCTAGAAACGGCTTACGACCGACTGCGCAGCAGTGCAGCCGGTCGTAAGCCCTCCCAAGTGGCTTAGAAAACGGTCTTATTTCAGTCGGTCGTAGTTAAACGCAAGTGCATGAACGGGCCTTAAAGGCACACACTTGCGACCAACTACTACCGACTGAAACGAGACCGACCTCTAGAAACGGTTTACGACCGACTGCGCAGCAGTGCAGCCGGTCGTAAGCCGTCCCAAGTGGCTTAGAAAACGGTCTTATTTTAGTCGGTCGTAGTTAAACGCAAGTGCATGAACGGGCCTTAAAGGCACACACTTGCGACCAACTACTACCGACTGAAACGAGACCGACCTCTAGAAACGGCTTACGACCGACTGCGCAGCAGTGCAGCCGGTCGTAAGCCGTCCCAAGTGGCTTAGAAAACAGTCTTATTTCAATCGGTCGTAGTTAAACGCAGGTGCATGAACGGGCCTTAAAGGCACACACTTGCGACCAACTACGACCGACTGAGACTAGACCGACCTCTAGAAACGGTTTACGACCGACTGCGCAGCAGTGCAGCCGGTCGTAGGCCGTCCCAAGTGGCTTAGAAAACGGTCTTATTTTAGTCGGTCGTAGTTAAACGCAAGTGCATGAACGGGCCTTAAAGGCACACACTTGCGACCAACTACTAGCGACTGAAACGAGACCGACCTCTAGAAACGGTTTACTACCGACTGCGCAGCAGTGCAGCCGGTCGTAGGCCGTCCCAAGTGGCTTAGAAAACGGTCTTATTTTAGTCGGTCGTAGTTAAACGCAAGTGCATGAACGGCCCTTAAAGGCACACACTTGCGACCGACTACTACCGACTGAAACGAGACCGACCTCTAGAAACGGTTTACGACCGACTGCGCAGCAGTGCAGCCGGTCGTAAGCCGTCCCAAGTGGCTTAGAAAACGGTCTTATTTTAGTCGGTCGTAGTTAAACGCAAGTGCATGAACGGGCCTTAAAGGCACACACTTGCGACCAACTACTACCGACTGAAACGAGACCGACCTCTAGAAACGGCTTACGACCGACTGCGCAGCAGTGCAGCCGGTCGTAAGCCGTCCCAAGTGGCTTAGAAAACAGTCTTATTTCAATCGGCCGTAGTTAAACGCAGGTGCATGAACGGGCCTTAAAGGCACACACTTGCGACCAACTACGACCGACTGAGACTAGACCGACCTCTAGAAACGGTTTACGACCGACTGCGGAGCAGTGCAGCCGGTCGTAGGCCGTCCCAAGTGGCTTAGAAAACGGTCTTATTTTAGTCGGTCGCAGTTAAACGCAAGTGCATGAACGGGCCTTAAAGGCACACACTTGCGACCAACTACTACCGACTGAAACGAGACCGACCTCTAGAAACGGCTTACGACCGACTGCGCAGCAGTGCAGCCGGTCGTAAGCCGTCCCAAGTGGCTTAGAAAACAGTCTTATTTCAATCGGTCGTAGTTAAACGCAGGTGCATGAACGGGCCTTAAAGGCACACACTTGCGACCAACTACGACCGACTGAGACTAGACCGACCTCTAGAAACGGTTTACGACCGACTGCGCAGCAGTGCAGCCGGTCGTAGGCCGTCCCAAGTGTCTTAGAAAACGGTCTTATTTTAGTCGGTCGTAGTTAAACGCAAGTGCATGAACGGGCCTTAAAGGCACACACTTGGGACCAACTACGACCGACTGAGACGAGACCGACCTCTAGAAACGGCCTACGACCGACTAGGCAGCACTTCAGCCGATCGTAAGCCGTCCCAAGTGGCTTAAAAAACGGTCTTGTCTCAGTCGGTCGTGGCTAAACGCAAGTGCGCGAACAGGCCTTAATGGCACACACTTGCGCTCGACTATGAGCGAGTGAGACAAGACAGGCCTCTTGCGACGGCTTACGAACTACCTCGCAGCAATGCAGCCGGTGAGTCGAGTCTCCGAGAAGAGTCGGGTTTGCTCTTATCGTCTCTGCTTGATCGACACAGCGCGACGGGACAAAGAGAAGCAGACTATGACTGAGAGCTGAGGAAGGTGTCTTTGTTTCAGGGAATGGGAGCGCGAGGTGCGCAAGCTCAAGCGGGGCCAGCAGCCCAGCCTGTTCCTGGCCATCGTCCGGGCTTTCGGCTTCACCTACTGCATGGTGGCCATGCTCATCCTGGTCGAGGCAAGAAACTGTCTCTCCTCGCAGATTTCCATCAAACGTATTTCCACTTCTGTTGATGCTCTAGTTCCTTCTTCGAGCCATCTGCGACTGTCTGTCATCGTCTAGTAGATTCGACTGTTTTCGTTTTTCTAGTTTACCGATCAATGTTTCTCGTTCTTACCACACTTTTTAAGTTTGATGAGCTGTCCCGAATGTATTTTTTTGTTTTTTACTCTTTGTTTTATTTGTATACGTTATAATCCTTTCTATTTATATGGGTGGTGTAGTAAATAAAGTAATTAAAATTGGCAAGGACCTCCCTACTTCCCCGCCAAATTTAGCGGGGAAACTAAATATGAGCATACGTCCGGAACGCCAGGTAACGTGACATCAATTTTCCCGCCAAATTAGACAGGGAAACTTGCTTCATGCATAGGTCACGCGAAATCAATTTCTTCGCCAAATTTAGCGGAAAAATTGAATTGGTGTATAGGTGACGAGACGCAAATTCTCTCGCTAAATTTAGCAGGAAAACTTAAATTACTTGATCGAAGCGCACTGAGAAAATTTACATTACGTGACGTCTACGTCAATTCAGTTCCACCGCTAAATATAGCAAAAACAAGTAAGTGTCCTAAGCACCGATTCAGTTTCCCCTCTAAATACAGGGGGAAATTCACGTCACGTGACTTAAAAGGACAATAAAGACAATTTTAATTAATATTTTTAACTTGTGTCTTTAGGCTTCTTGGGAACCTAGCACGCTGTCCGATTTTTTTTGGAGACATTTGTGACGCGTATTTTTGTGCCTACGAAAGAAATGAAGAAACCGGCACTGAACTATCTCCATTCTCATATCTGGGACTCCAAAAACAGAGGTGACGTAGGGAGTGTCGTCAAGTGTGAATCTTTGGTATCGGTATCATTTAGGAGATCGATACTCTGGTTACCGCGGTGGGTTATAGCACCGCGGTGGCGTGGTTGTTTCGTCATATCTGTCAACACGGACAATGCCGTTCTGACGAGCGAGTTTGGGCCTCCGTTGCATGACCTAATACCAACAGCACGGGAGTTCGTGTGTGGCGTCCTCCGTCATCACCCGATGATGACAGCTCAGCCGGCAACAAGCGGCCTGCAGGCTCCCAGCAACGAAGCAGCGAGCAACATTGGCGCGGGCGAGACCGGAGTGGCGCGTTGCCGAAGGACAGGGACGCGGGGGAGATGCCGAGGGGAAAGCGGCAGCGACCCGTTTTGGGAACCGGCTTTTCCGCGGGGGACGCTCCCCAAGAAGGAGAAAATAAACAGCACCATTTTTGGTTTTCATCACAGTCGGACGTCCCTTTTTCGTCGTCAATGAACGCGAACAGCAACCGTCACGTGAAAACTAGCGTCGCTCGAACGATTACTGGTTTTCAGTCGACCGTTTGAACAGCCATCTACAGCGCACAAATTTGGCGTGACTATTACTTTGCAGTATCCTTTCGAGTACCGTGTTCCAGAAGTAAACAGTACATCGACAACTGAAACCAAAACCAAACGTCTCCCGCGTGCTCCGCGCTGTGTTCTTTTCTTATTTATTTTGTTTGCCCATAGTTGCTCGTTGCCCGTTTCGCGTCCAGCGTATCAGAGAAAAAAACAATTATGCTGTTTTATTTACGGTTTAGCAATAATTTCCGGTCCAATATATACTTTTCATGGTTATTTAAGCGGCAATCGGAACAGTATTCATAAAAATCACGAACCAAAACGTGACCGAGGGCACTTCTCTCGTTTCGACCAATCGCAGACGCGTCTCTTCTGACGTCACGCTTCTAGGAACCGCAGCGCCGCGCGAACTCCGCTTCTCCTGGCTTCTCCCGCCACTCTCGGGGCGTCGCCCCAAACGACTCCGGTACGATTATTTCCGCGACTGTTGAATTGATTTGCGCGGCACACAAACGCCGCTTTCGACTGAAATTTGGGCAACGTTGCCTGGGAGGTGCCTGGAACCCAGTTCAATCGCCGCAAAAAATGTCCAAAATTGTCTTCATTGTCCCTTTAAGAACTAAGTTTTTTCCTTAAATGTAGCGGGGAAATATACGTCGCGTAACGCAAATTCCTTCTTCCTACACCCTCCTTCCTTCTCTTTCCCTCTCCTTCCTGGGTTTCCTGTCCTCGCTCCCCAACCCTCTCCCATTCTCTTACGATGCTTGGTCTACACCAAACCAGTTTCTCCGCTAAATTTAGGGGGAAGTATGCTTCACGTGACACAGTGTCTCCCTGCTCTCATTCCTCTCTCCTCTTTTCCCTCTCCTTAACCTCCTACAATGCCCTCCTTCCCCATTTGCCTCCCTTCCCCCTTCTCTTTCCCTGGTCATGTGACGCACCAATTCAGTTTCCCCACAATTGATAAAAATAGCTTCTCCACTTCTGGAATGCCTGTTCAAACGTATAAAACAACCGCTACAAAAAAAAAAAAGAAAAAAAAATTATTTTATGCAATATTTATAGGACTTTGATGGTAAAGGCCGCTGGCAATTTGTTTCAAAAAATGAAATGGTTTTAAACGCTACCCCCAATCCCAAAATTTTGTCCGTTCGATCGTCCTTGCGTTTCCCGCTAAATTTGGCGGGGAAATTGATATCACGAGAGCTATTCACGAATACAGTTGCTTGTCACTAGGCCTAGCTTCACGGGGCATACAGACCAATTCTGTTTCCCGGAAATTATAGCGGAAAATTGACGTCAGGTGACGTATGCACCAATTCCGTGTCCCCGCTAAATTGGGCGCGAAAGTGTCGTCACATGACCTATACACCTTGGGGAAATTGACGCCACGTGACTTAGAGGTCAACTCAGTTTTCCCGCTGAATGTAGCGGGCAAGCTAAATTCATGTCTTGCGGTCAAAACATTATTATAAGTTTCCCGCTAAATTTACCGGGGAATTCACGTCTTGTGGCCAAAACATCAACTTAGGTTCCCCGCACAATTTAGCGGGAAATTGGCGTCACGTTACAAATTCAACAATTCAGTTACGCGATAAATTTAGCAGGATAAATAACGTCTTGGGACCTAGACAACAATCCAGTTTCCCCGCTAAATTTAGCGGGGGAAATTGACGTCTCGTGATCTTACGGCACGTGACCTATACAACCACTTAGGTTTCGCGATAAATTTAGCAAGAAAATATGCGTAACGTGTCACACCGGTCACGCCAACAATTCCCTATAACGCATTTCATGGGTATAAAACTTGGAAGGTAAATCGCTGCTAATTGTTTTCAAATTATTTCTCCGTAACGTCACGACCTTTGCAAAGTCCTTACTTGCACACCTTGTGGGGATGCGTCCATCAGGCTTCCCCCATCGCGCAGTTGCGCCGCAGAGAAGCGACATTCGCAGAGCGGATACTCGGCCTCGGCAAGAGCAACGTTACGGAAGGGTCAAACATTCTTAGTTTTTGATTAGAGATCAGAATATTATAAAAATAGTTAAAAAAAAATTGTTTCGCATTTTTTATTTAGTTTTTAAACAAAGAGCATAGCCATTGTTTTGATTTTAGCGGACTACACGAACCACGGTGATAAAGAATTAAAAATAATCCGACATTTGGGAGTGCATCGATCAATAAGGTCACGCATCATTTCCGTAAAAATCCACCAGTTGTGTTCCACTTAACGTGCATTAAACGAGCGCTCAAAGTACGGATAGGTTTACCTGAATCAACCTTTTACCTGCATCAAGCTGAAAAAACCTTTTACCTGCATCAAGTTGAAAACAAAACATGATAGTTACTCTTCTTTCCACATAACTGTGAATGAGGACGACTTCAACACAATTAATGTGGCGGACGTCTGGCCAATGGGCCCTCTTTTCAGACCATTTTTGGGAGCGGTACTGGGTAATGATGATCGTGACACAATTACGACAAATTAGATCACAGCATGAATTGTTTACTCTTTTACCAAAATGTACGCGGGTTGCGCACAAAAGCTAATATATTTTTTAACAACGTCGTTCTAAGTTATTTTGATATTGTTTCATTAACTGAAACTTGGTTGAACAGCTCCTTTGCAACAAATGATTACTTTCCCCCTGAATACACAGTCTTCCGCCAGGACAGAGAATATGAAAATTTGACTGTAAACTTCGGTGGCGGAGTCCTCATTGCAATTAAAAATCACTTGCATGCGGTTCGCACGTTTGATCTCGAGTCAGACTGCGAATCCGTTTGGATTGAAATAACTCTCCGTGATAACACTAGCCTTATAATCGGCACATTTTATTTTCCTCCTAACTTTAATGCATCTATGCTTTCTGATTAGTTAGATAAAGTGGGAGATAAGTTAGATGTAGACCGACAGAGTATACTCATACTTGGTGACTTCAACATTCCTGATATAAATTGGAGTCCAGAGTACTATGCAGCTCATGCCCACTCGTAATGCCTCACCAAAGGCAAATATTCTTTTGTATTTTATTAACTTTCAGGGACTGAACCAATGGAATAGTCTTAAAAACCATGCAGGAAATGTCCTAGATCTTGCTCTATCGAACTTTGCCATCGACAGCCTAGTGTGTGTCCTTAACCCATTGGTATCACCCGATGTTTGGCACGTCCCATTTCTTGCTTCCCTTAAGCTTTTCGTGGGGAACGTGAAGCAAAAAATAAATCCTGACGCGTTCTCTTTTTCAAGAGGCGATTACTTTGGTCTATTTAAATATTTAGATAACGTAAACTGGACACACATATACAACATGACTGATGTAAACTGTGCGGTAGCGGCGTTTACTAAACATATCGTGTCTGCACTTGAGCGCTTTGTTCCTAAGAAACGTCCCCAAACAACTCGGTATCCTCACTGATATTCTTTCGAGCTGAGGTCAGCTTTAAGATCCAAATTGCATTATCATAGGAAATATAAGGCTTCTGACTCAGCGTTCTGGTACGCTAAGTTTTCCGAATCACGTGCGTAGGCAAAGTCGTTGTTGCAGAGCGATAAGAGAGTGCACCATGAGTCTCCAGAGCGCAGTTTATATTGTGACCCATTGCAGTTCTGGAGGTACGTCAAGAACCGTACAGCCACAACCGCATCGACAACAAGCATCGCTGACTCATCTGGAATTTCGATTAGTGAACCCGAAGATGTAGCGAACGTTTTTGCGAGCTATTTTGCCTCTGTATATTCTTGTAGCCGGAATGGTTTATCTGCGTCTGACGTTGGTGACAGTGGTAGCGATTGCCTATCAATCCCATTATTTGAAATCTCTGACATTAAACTTGCAATTCAAAAACTAAAACCTAAGTTATCAGTCGCATTTGACGGTATCCCGAGTTTTATTGTCAAAGGATGCTCTTCCATTTTCGCACCCATTCTAACGCATATTTTTAACCTTTCATTATCCACTTGCACTTTTCCTTCGATTTCAAAAAACGCGATAACCGTGCCGATACATAAGAAAGGAAGAACAGATGATCCAAGAAACTATAGACCCATTTCATTATTATGTCCATTTGCAAAGGTTTACGAAATAGTACTTTCGGGACATATTTCGAACTTTTTTAAACATAAAATCCTGCCCTCACAAAACGGTTTTGTGCGCGGAATATCAGTGGAATCAAACTTGGTGTCTTTTCTTAATTTCGTTTCGCCTATTGTGTGTCAGCGGGGTCAGGTTGACACTGTATATTTTGACATGTCTAAGGCATTTGATTTGGTTGACCACTCGCTACTTTTACAAAAGCTGAAATCGTATGGTATGGGTACTACATTATGCATATTGATTCACAATTATTTGTCCGATAGACAGAATTTTGTACGTATCCTCGGTCATCTCTCCCGGCCTTTTGTCACCCTGTCTGGTGTTCCCCAGGGGTTCATTCTTGGACCGATTCTTTTTAATGTTTTCATAAACGACCTTCGCTCCTGTGTTCTTCATTCAGAAATCCTGCAATACGCCGATGACATCAAGTTATTTAGGCAGATAGTATATGTAGAGGACTGTGTGAAACTAATGGATGATGTAAACTCAGTGAGCAATTGGTGTAGTCTCAACAGGCTGACACTTATCCCACTAAGACTATTGTTATGTCATTTGCTAAGAAGCTAAGGCCTTTTCATTTTTGTTACCAACTCGGCAATGCCCCATTGCAAAGGGTGGATTGCACTCGTGATCTTGGAGTTTATATAGACTCTTCTCTGTCATTTAATACACATGTCAATAACATTGTCAACGCGTCTTTTCGTACGTTAGGTGTCATATCCAGAATTACACGCGAGTTTTCCATGTCGGCCTGTATTATGCAGTTATATTTTTCGTTAATTAGGTCTAAGCTAGAGTTTTCCTCAGTTGTGTAGAATTCTATTGGGCGTACGCACCGAGAGTCGATTGAAAATGTCCAGAAACGTTTTTTTTCGAATTTTTTACGCCCGCTTTGTTGGTTGCACTGTTTACTTTGAATATAGAACACTTTTAGAGCGATACAATTCTTCTACTTTGAGTGCCAGACGAAGCGACAGAGATCTTATATTTTTGTTCAAATGCCTTCACGGAGTCATTGATTGCCCTGACCTAACTTCATCGATAAATATTCATGTTCCGAGAAGGTTTCTGCGAAATTCTCTTCCATTTTATGTTAATGAATTCTTCCGATCCTGCCCCGTGACACGTATTCAGACCTTGTATAATACTTTCAATGATTCTTGCATTAACATTTTTAACCCCTCTTTTGCAGCGTTCAAGTTTTTTCTTACAAATCTATAACCATCTTTGTAGCATCTTTGTAGCGTTCAAGTTTTCTATTGTCAATTTGTAGAATTATACTTCTTTTTGCTCTATGTTAACTGTGCATCATGAACACAAAAAAAATAAACAAATGAATGAATGAATGAATGAATGAATAAATATAGCTTTGATGCTGACGGCATCGGTTCTGGCGAAATTCCGAATTATTTTTTCTGCCGTTTCAGAAACAGGGACATCAACAGAGAGTTTGATATTTAAAAGAGTGTGGTCACTAAACAAAAACAAGTTTGGCACATCACTTATGCAATCAGGATGGGTAGTACAAAATAAAGCTAGAGTTGAGTCACCTCTCTTGGCTACTTTGACAATTTGGTGGAGACCAACTACAATAATAAATTCAAGACTCTCGTTTATTACTGCATGAGGCGGTCAGAATTCTTGATACCCATCATTTCTGAAGCTTTGATTGGGCATCGATGTTGGTCTCTCCTGATGTAAACGATAAGGTTATGCTTTTTACGCGAAGTACTCGGGAGACAAGGGATAGGTTTATTACTTTGAGAACAGTTACTAAATTTCGCTTTCTTAGCTGTTTTTTCAGTCAGCTAAAACCGCTATAAAAATACTTATTTCACAGGAGGTTTAAGGAAAGCGGCCTACGAAAGTGGGAGGTAGAATTTAAAAGTTGCAGAAAACTTTGTAAAATGATTCTAAATCTCGAAAGCCAGGGACATCATTACTCAGTAAAATCAGATCTTGTAAAAGGTCAGAAGAAATTCTGAAGGTACACTAAATCACGTTCTGGAAGGCATATCGAATCAAAAATTGTCCTAGATAATCATGAAAGCGATGCGAAGTGCGAGCCTGAGTTATTAGCTGATCATTTTAGGTCAGCCTACAAGGATAGTACACAGTGTTTCTCCACTGCGCTGCCTCTCCTAGATGTATTTGGGGACTTGCTAAGTTTCATTAATATCGATGAAGTATGTGTACCTCTCTGTACTAAGAAATTGAGAGCAACAATATCCGTTGAGCCAGACGGCATTCCCTCTGCGATCTGGGAAAATCATCAGAGGTATTCACGCCAGTACTGTGCTCAGTATTTAATAAACCTTTAAGGTCAGGAACATTTCCCGAAATGTGTAAAGTCGCAACTGTCGTTCCGGTTCTTAAGTCGGGAAATAAGGTGATGTTTTGTAGCTATAGACAAATTTCTTTTAATTCTCTCTTCATTCTCCTAGCTCTTTGAAATGGTCACTCATCAAATTCTTGTCTTTCAAATATCGAAACTTAACAATCCCCAATCGGAATGGCTCTATGAGTGGAGGATCGACAACTACAAATCTTGTTATTTTTATCTGTTGCGTTGTGCAGGAGTGCTTCAAGAACGTGATGCAGCCCGTGATGCTGGGCTGGGTGGTGCGCTACTTCTCGGCCCCCGACAGCATCAGCCGGACCGAGTTCCTCCTGGCCGCCTCGGGAGTGTCCATCCTGGGCGGCGTGCACATCTTCACCCACCACCCGTACTTCTTCAACATGCAGCGCATGGGCATGCGGATGCGTGTCGCCTGTTGCAGCCTCGTCTACCGAAAGGTGCGCACCACGCGTCACATTTAGGCATTTCCGAACAACATATACGAACAACCTACCCTACCGAAAAATCCAGTATAACTTTTCGCTATCCGGATTATGGAACCGGAAATTTATCTGGATTCTATCTGGACTCTATCTGGATTTTAGGTTTCAAGAATTTATTCCTTTGTCTGCAATCTTTATCTGGATTCTATCTGGACTCTATCTATATTTTAGGTTTTCAGAAATTATTCCTTTGTCTGCAATCTGGTTTCCAGAAACATATTTCCGGTTCCATAATCCGGACAGTGAAAAGTTATACTGGATTTTTCGGTAGTTTTCAAGACCTCGTTCTATAAAACAACAACAAAAATAAAAAAAACGGAAAAAATATATATTATTAAAGTGCCTATAAGTATTGGGAAAGTACGACACCTAAACTAGGCCTTAGCAACCCATTCCTTAATTAGTAAAAGTTTTTGAAGAATGCCGCCTCATGTCTCCTCTCTCATACCTCATTTTTATTGGATTCGTTGTTTGAGGGCGTTGATTCCGTTCCGCTGTTGTCTTGCTTAGGCACTTGAGGCAGAGGGAATGCAAGCCGACGAAGTGACCGTCGGTGCCAAGCTTGCTCTGAAGTTGAAAAGCCCCGCACCCTCTGGAGCTCTTGCGCTCGTCCCCGCGTGCGACCCCGGCGTATCTAAAATATATATTATAACCAGAGACTAAAATTTTTTGATCTATTTGTTTGCAAACAAATTTACTCCTCTCCAGTTTTCTACTCTACTATCGCGGTCAGCATGAGCTTCAACAGTCCTTCATCCATTGCTGGCCCATTGCTGGCCTACGTGCCGGTTTCTAATGAAAAAAACTTTGTTTTAAAATAGTGCTGGTACGCTTCAGTTCCATTCTTGGAACTAATCTGACAAAACCAGAGGTAACGGAACTTCCAAAAAAACAGACGCAAAAAAAAAAAAGCGGTGTTGCGGCTCATATTGTCCATGACAAGGTGGCAGTCGACCAGAATGCGTGCCACCGGCCAGAGTGAGCGCCGATTCAAACTCTTCTCGGAAATCTTTCTAATCTAAAAGCGGGTTGCAGGCCCTTCGGCTGAGTCAGGCGGCGCTCTCCAAGACCGCGGTGGGCCAGATGGTGAACCTGCTGTCCAACGACGTGAACAGGTTCGACCAGGTATGTCCCTAACCAAGATGCCCTCGAGGAAGTGCCTCGACGCGATCCCCTGCCCCGCAGTCTGTCCTGTTCGTGCCGTACCTGGTGGCGGGGCCCCTGCAGACGGCCGTCATCACCTGGGTGCTGTGGCAGCACCTGGGCGTCAGCTGCCTGGCGGGTATCTCCTTCGTCCTGCTCTACATCCCGTTCCAGGGCTGCCTCGGCAGGGCCTTCTCCAAACTCAGGTCTCGCTTTTATTCCGCGGTTCCAAAACGATGTGCGTTCGTCCGTCGCTCGACAGCGCGGCCGCTCATCGGTCGAAGCCAGGGGGAGAGCCCATGTGGCGAGGAAAGGGGATTCATATTTCAACAGGGCAGCTGACGTCAGCACGATCTAGCTTCGCGCATAGAAAGCAGTTGACATGACAGATGCACGTGGGGGTGTGCAGTGGTGTTCCGTATGAGGAGCGTGCAAGTCTCCACAGTGACTCCGTGAATTTGACCGCTGGATCCCGAGGAAGAATTGCTGCAAGGACGCGGAAAGTAGAGGCAGCCATAGACACACCGACTGCCGCCGCCGCTGAGCGTAGCTTAATTAGTGACCTGGAGGGAGTTAAAGCGCACGAAGAGGGATCACAGCGACACCATCAAGCTGCGGTGGCAGGGAGAAACAACCCGTCAAGCGCGGTCGGTGCTGCCGTTTTCGACTTCATGGGTCCGGGGACTCGCTCAGTCGTCATGGGCTGCACAGGTTCCGGCGTGTTGACTCCTAGGAGCTGCGGAGTGCTGCTTCTGTGATGCTTTCGAAGGCGTTGGGGTCGATTTTTGCTGGATGATTACCTCATTGGTTACCCTTACGGCTTCCAGTGCCCCCAGTGCAAAGACGGCCTTTGGCGTATGTACCCGGGTTTCTCCGAGTTGGCTCACTACTATGAACATGCGCGAGATCATCTTGAGGATTGCTGCGTCCGTCCCTTCTGCCGGCCTCGAGGCTGCTTTCGTCACGCTGGCGAAGAATCGCTGTCTTTCTGTTTAATCCCCTTTCTCAAGATCTGGGGTCTGTCTGCCTGCTTTATGTCGGCGGAGAGTGTTGGCTGTAGCCTCCCTCTTTTTGCCCCTTGCGTTCTTGTCCTGACGTTGCTGAAGGGACCCTTGCCTTTGGTGTTGTTCCGTTATCCTAGCCTTGCATGTTGCTGCCGTGTTCCGAGTGTCTCGAGACCACTCAGGCTGACTTCTTCCAAGAACCGCGCATGCCTCTTTGTAGGTAAAGGCCGTCCTGGCGCATTGTCCGCAGACTTGCCGTTCCTTCCTCAGCACTGGACAAAAGTTTAACGTGGCGGCGTGGTCCCGACGAGAGTTCACGCAGCGGACGTTTTCACTATCGCACTCTTTGGTCTTGTGTTTTTCCGCACACTTTGCACATGTCTCTCTTTTCTCGCAGGTGTCGGTCACGTGACCCATTCTGTTACATCGATAGCATCACAGGAGCCTCGCTACGTAGAGCGAGACGGAGTACTGGACATAGCCCATATGAAATTGACTTGAAAGGAACTTGCCTTAAAATGGGATCTAGACCGAAGTGATTCACTCTAAGAAATAGGGGGTGTATATGTCCCATATTTAACACCCCAATATAACAATTCGACGTTCAGTCCACAGACGCCGAACCGACGATATCAACTTTCAAGAGCAGCTTGATATTCGACCGATACAATTTATTAAAATAGCTAATGTACGCATTAAACGCTGCATTAAACGCTACATTAAGACAATCAAGGTTTTTTCTGGCCCTGCTGCAAAACCTGTTTTTTTTTTCTTTCTAGTCTTTGCTGAGCGCATTAGCTATTTAGTACGTTATATCCAACAGCTATCAAGCCGACGAACGCCACTGGTTTAGGATGTTTAGGGTGGGCATGGAGAACGGGCCCGACATCTTGAAAGTCCTCGTTGGTTCGCGTGTAAATGGCGTTCGTCTGACACATAGCCGTGCCGCACGTTTTGTTGAACAGCCCCGAGTGAGCTTGTCTCTGCTCGGTGTGGCTCTGCAGGGCCAAGACGGCGGCCCTGACCGACGAGCGCATCCGGCAGGTGAACGAGTTCGTGGCCGGCATGCGCGTCATCAAGATGTACTCGTGGGAGACGCCCTTCGCTAACTTGGTCGACGCCATGCGCAGGTAAGCCTTTTGGTGGAACCGGATGGCCCGGCGACTCTGTCTCGGACCGTTGCGAGCCTCGGGTGTCTGCCGCCGGGCTCGTTGGGCCGGTGCCCCCTCAGGTCCACAGACAACACCTCCCAAATAACGAGGCCAGAGCGTCTAAACTTTAACGTCGCCTCAAGCTCAAGAGGGAAACAAGGACTTGAATTAGTGAAAGCCGAACGCAGCACGCCTCGTTATTTATGTGCTAAGCCAGTCGGAGATCTGACCAGGTCGTGGCAGACGCGAGGTGCGCAGGATCCGGCAGACGTCGGTGCTGCGTGCGGTCAACATGGGCCTGTTCTTCATGTCGTCCAAGCTGGTGCTGTTCCTGTGCTTCGTCACGTTCGCCCTGCTGGGAAACACGCTCACCTCGGAGTGCGTGTTCGTCAGCATGGCGCTCTTCAACAGCCTCCGGCTCGCCATGACGCTCTACTTCCCCTTCGGCGTGGGCCAAGGCGCCGAGACTCTCGTCTCCATCCGAAGGCTACAGGTGGGTCCTCCTGTCCACCAGGCCACAACGACGGCCGTTTCTCCTTGTTGCATCTTCTAGATGAATCAGCACGCAATCACAGCTCTGTGTGTACCCCCCGGCACGCGACCTTTTCGGTTTTTTCTCGTCCCCAGCCCTTGTCATTTCCTACGGTTTCACAACGCGCCTTTTTGATTTTCTAAGCCGCGTTCCGCCATGTTGATGAACAGGTCCGCCACTTTTTCAATTTGTTGGCGTGAAGATGTGGTTAGTCATTGGGGGGGGGGGGGGGGGGAAGGGGGGGGAATCGTTTTGTTTTTAGCGAGACGCACAAGCGTGGTTAGTGGCTCCGTCGACGGCAGGACTCAATAACTTGGAACAATGGCGTATTTCGGCCGCCGTAAACAGATGTTCTACCTTTCTAAACATTCACGGACCCACCCGTGTTGGACTTTTCTCGACTGCCCGAGAGCGAGCGCGTTGTGTCTTTTGCAGAAGTTCCTGCTGCTCGAAGAGCAGGAGCAGTCGTCGCTGCTCAACGGGCCCAAGCTTCGACCGAAACTCCAGAACTGCGCCGTCCTGCTCAAGAACGTCACAGCTTCGTGGAACAAGGTACGTGGTGCCCGATCCTCCTCGGCGGAGAACACTTTTCCACATCTGCCGATTGTGTCTCGGGCAAGACTGCCCACACAACTTCGGAGACAGTTATGCCTCTTGGAGCTTCAAATCGTCTGAAAGCTTGATCTGAAATCGCGGGGTAAGGTTTCCAGAAATGTTGGTCCGGGACACCAAGAGACGCCTCCTGACAGCGCATGGAGAGCTCAGGAAGTCGCATTTCTTATGGATCGCCACTTGCGCACACACTGTACTAAGCACAAAAATGGCGTTACCCACGGGAAACTCGGGGAAGAGACGCGTAGTTTATCTAGTGGTTCCCGAATGCCCCGCGCACAACCCGCAACAGGCGGCCTTTTCACTCGGCGATGCAGAAACAAAGAACAAACAAGCTCGTAAAGCTGCTGACAATTCGTCAGATTGTTCAAGATAATGAAATTTATATCCCACTTTACACTTTACAACAATAATAAGTGTCCGTCGATAATTTCCTCACTTTTTAGTGATTGCTGACGTCACTGCGCATGCGCAATGCCGTGAGGAGCACCGCCGGGGTGGCATGACGTCGGAGAGTTGAGTCGGTCTGTAGAAAGACAAGTCAAAGTTGCGGAAAGCACGACACTGCTAGTACAAACACAGTATCATCGATTCCTTGTTTTTCATGGTCGAAAAGACAAATTGTGTTTGAACGCCCTTACCTGGAATGGCAATATATCTCTTGTTGGACTCCCAACTGTGAGAGTGAAATGTGAGGAGGCGGTGTTCTCGTTAACCGCGTCGCCCTGTGTGCGGGAGATATCTGCTCTACCGCCTGTCTAATATAGTAATGAGAGGTCGGTATCAACGTAAATTCTGACTGCTTCCATTATCCTCCTTGCAACTTTTAGAGCGCAGCTCTTAGGTGCCCCGTTTCCGCATATAGCTGCGCCGGCTTAGCCGCGCGCGTTGCAATATGGAAAGTGACAAACCTATACACCAACTCAATTTCCCGCTAAATTTAGCGGAGAAATTGAATTGGCGGTGAGGTCATGTGACGTTAATGTGCCCGCTAAATTTTGCGGTGAAAGTGACTTTGTGTATGGGTCATGTGACATGAAGTCGTGTGACATCATTTTCCCCGCTAAATTTAGTGGGGAAACTGAACTGGTGTTGAAGTCACGTGACGTCATTTTTCTCGCTCAATTTAGCGGGGAAACTGCCACGTCATGTGACGTCACGGGGCCGCGGCTTCACGAAGTGCAGCTTCACGAAATCCGGAGTAACTGGCCAAAGAACGTATCCCGGTAAAAGAAACACCGCGCGCGTTGCATTATGGGTCTTCACACCATATACCCTCCTCGTCCTCACTGGCCTACTCTCAAACAAAAACAAACAAGCAATCAAATTACATATATATATATTTCTCTCTCGAATTCTCTCCCACGGTATATCTCAAACTCAAAATACCCCAAGAACTGCGCTCTAGTTTCGCATTACAGAAAAGCATAAACGTCTGTAATTTTTGTTCTTCTTTTTTTAAAGCAAATATATAGCGGTCTTAACCGTACTCCGCGGTGTGACCGGGTTCTACGAGAGAAAATATGAGCTGCGGGGAGGTATTGACGTTACCCCAAAGCGTTCAAAAAATGAAAACGAAGGAGCGGAGATGAAATCTGTGACTGCGGTCTGTTGCTGACAGGATCTCCCGGAGCCAACTTTGCAGAACATCTGTGCCACCGTGAAACCGGGAGAACTTTTGGTGGTTGTCGGACCTGTTGGCTGTGGGAAGGTAAGGTCATGCTCGGTCCATCCCTCTGAATGATCCATTCATTTAAGGTGCATTCACACGACAGACTTGTCCCCGGACAAGTTCCTGCCCAATCCGCGACGTCACCTTTTCTGGGGGTTCGAAAATTTTCATTGTACAGGCGAAAACTCCGGGCGAAATTCAGAAACGTGTCCGCGGACTTTGCGAATTTCGCCTATTCCGTTGGCCTGTCGTATCACGCGGCAGTCCGCGACGGGTCGTCGACGCGCCGGGAACCGATTGCGTCCAAAATCTTCTGCGTTTCGCAGCTGTTTTCTTTTAAGTGCGATAGCGTTTCTTTAAATGCAGTTTTAATGAATCGTTCTGTTACTTCCGATACACCAGATAACGATACGATGCACGCGCGAAGGTGGTGGCGGAGTATGGGGTGTTTTATCGAAGTCATCGGAACAATCAACTTCAAACTCTCAAATGTAGCCCGCGTGCGGGTGATAACGTAGTGTAGCGTTGGTGATGACGTATCCCATTTGGACACCACTATAATATAAAATTTTAAGTGAGAACGTTAAAGCTTTGATCACGCTGGACTTGCTTGTCTCTTCTTGCATACTATATCCTCTCTCTTCATTTTGTTCTTTTTAGTCCCCAACCTTACTCTCCCCTTCTCACCAACTAGCAGCAGAGCTCTAAGTGCAGGCTTACCTCTTGGTAATTGTACATAAACAATCCTTGTCCATTGTTGCTGAGAGCGGAGCCCGTCGTTCGAGGTTTGTCACGAACGTTTGTCGAAACTGAGGCTCTACGGGTTCGGCGAAGTTTCCATCTTTGGGCAAAAATTGTTTTTGAAGAACGTTGTCCGACGCCACACTTTCGAACATTTGGTAAAAATAATGCGGTATTTTGTATTATATTTTAGAGTATATAAACGACACGGCAGTTTCAATCGCGGTTTGTTAAAATACCCGATAAATACCGCACCCGTCAGACTTTAAAAATTCCGCGCATGCGCATAGTGATCCAACTTGAGTGTAACTTTAGTCGGCCTTGAAGGGCAACTCCGCTTCATACTTTTAATTTTGGGAGTATGGCTGTTTTTAGTGCAGCCAGTGTCCCTGAATTGCAAGGTCTAATTTTTTTCTCGTTATTGTGTGTAATTTTAAAGATATCGACGCCTCAAAGTTTTGTTTGGGGCGCGTCCAACAAAACCGCAACTAGCTGCTCACTAGAAATTAGCCGCTATGTGAACGTGACGTCAGGATCGTTCTCGTTCAACGAGTACGCAGGCCGAGCGGCACCTACCTCTGTTGCGCTAGCCGTGTAAGGATAGAAGGTAAGCTCATTTTGTTTTAACTCTGTATACGTGGTAGTTATCCAGCATATGAAGCAAGAGTTAGTGTGGGCACACAAAAGCTAGCGACTGGAAAACCCGTGAACTCGTTCGGTGCCGTACTCGGCGGCCGCCGCCGTGCGTGCGCTATGCCGTATTTGCCGCTTGTATACGCAAAAGCTAGCGATTGGAAAACGAGTAAACTTGTTCGGTGCTGTACTCGGCGGCTGTCGCTGTGTGTGCGGTCTTCCGTACTCGTCGCTAGGCCTAAATTGTCATCGGGGCTCTGTGGATGGAGCGGCGTTGCCCTACGCCGCGCTGCCAGGGACGCACAGTACTGAGGGTCCTCTCGCTTTCGCGCTGCGGGTCAGTCTGAGACGCGAAGCTTTGAGGCTCTCCGGCACGGGCCGCAGTGCCCGAACACACACGTGCTGGGCTGTACACGTCTGTTTTTTTTTTGTTTTTGTTCTTTTTTTCCTTGGGCGCGTAAAAGCCGAAGTCCAAAGTTCACTCGTCGAAAAGCGTTCACCCATACCTTCTCCAATTTCCGGTCCTCTGGAAACTTGTGAAAAAGCAGCTCCGTGTTGCGCAGCGGGCTGTTTGAGCAGCCCACAGCGCTACAAGTTGCACTCGGCATCTTTCGAGGAACAGCTGGGGAGTCTTGAGCGCACCGAGTTGCTCGCTAAAACGGGTCTTGGAGTCCTCACAAGCAAATAAGCAAAAGGCTATACCGAAGCTACACGGGCTACAGATAAAAGCAACGGCTAAACACTCCAATCCCAAGCCGAAGTAGCGGTGGTAGCGGCTCAAAGAAGCGCACTCCGCGCAACGCCCGGACCGGAGGAAAAAAGGAGAACGATACTGACGTCACGGCTCAATGTTGCTTTAGTGACCGGCAACCTGCTGGCCGCCCGCTGAGGAGCAGCGGCTCGCGGCGGGTCGCATTTTTATTATCGGCATTAGTTAAGAATGCGGCGTCCCACGGACGTAATATTTTGGCTGGGGTCGTATTTTCTGTCACTACAGCAATACTAGTAATTTATTTCATTCTGAGTTTTGGCTGGAGTTGCCCTTTAAGGAGGAAGTCGAACCTTGATACGTCCGCAATGTACCACGGAGGATGGGCCATCGAAGGTATTCCGAGGCCGCGCTAGAGGGACACAGCGTCGGCCGCATCTATAAAGTGGCTCGTGGGCGCAGACGTCGCTGCTCATGACTATCCTGGGCGAGCTGAACGTGGCGGCCGGGGACGCGAGAACCCTGGGCCGCGTAGCGTACGCCTCCCAGGAGCCCTGGATGTTCACCGGCAGCGTGCGCAGCAACGTGGTCTTCGACAGCCCCTACGACGCCGACCGCTACCGCCGGGTCATCTACGCCGCCGCCATGGAGAGGGTGAGCCCTCCACAGTCGGCCCTCTTCAGAAGTCCTTTTGAACCCACGGAAAACCCGTGTCCAATGCATGCTCTAAGCCTAAAATATGCCATCGACGCTGCTGGGGAGCACACTTTTCTAACGAATTTCTATGTACTGTAAATCCGACTTCAGTTAGGCCGGACTCCAGCATTCGGCTCAAAGGCTTTCAAAGCCTTGGGCTGCTCGTTTGAGCGCCTCAGAGAGCCCCCAAACCTCGCTTGGATCAGATCGCAGGCGCCTTGAGACTGAATGATTTTAGAGACTCAATATAAGAGGCGAGAAGTTGCGCACGGTTCGACGGAGGGCATAGTACGGTCACGGTCGCCTGCTACCGTAAACATTAGTGCTAGAGTTTTTTGTCACGCTGAGCTGCTCTGATTTTACGTTAGTCTATTCTTGAGATTAAAATGGCTTACTTACAGCATAAAGCCCAGCTGTATCAGGTTTGCTATCTATTTTGGTGCGGGCTACCGTTGACACGAAAGTGCCGGCGCCAGCTCCGCTGTCCAATATCTAAGGTCGAAAAAAAAAAGCCAAACAGAAAGTTCTTTTTGCCTGTCTATATTGCTTATCTACACCTGAGACACCAGATGGCAATTGAGGCTGACTAACTTCTGGCTGTATAAACACACAACACAATTAGTAGTGATGCGGGCTGATTAGCCAATCGCTCAAATGCCATTTGATGGAAATAGCACGACTTCGCTACTTGGCAGGTGTGGAGCTCCACAGTGGTAGCGCAAATGCGCTCCAACTAGTTTTTTTTTTAATTAAATGCTTTCTTTAGCGTATTTCTTGGCTGCATTAGCCGAAGAGTACAATATTGAAGCGATCTGTTTATCAAACGCATTGCAATATAATGAATAGCTTCCTTAGGCTTCTATGGCTGCCCTCCGCCTCAGTTGTTGGGCAGTGGAGCTGGCGGACGTCTCTCATTTCCTTTCAGCGCCGTGCTTAGCTCCCGCACAGCCTCGGACGATGGACCAGAGCAGTTCTGGAGGTACTGATGTCAGGCTCGCGTTGGAGGCCACACTCACGTCGAATGGGAGCTTCCACGAAAAACCATCAACCTTTCTGTCCTTGGCCCGTGCGAAAATGGGCGATGCTGAGCGAGCTCACGTGCCCCGAGCAGGCTCGATCAACTGGCGTGAGACGCCATGAGGCTCCTGATGAGGGCCAAGAAGTCGTCCCCCCAAGTCCTTCACTCCTTCGACGTTAGCGGGGCTGGAGTGGGTGGATCAAATCGCGGCGGGTAGGGAGCTTTGTGAGATGGAGCTTGCAACAGACCATAGACTTCCTGGTGCGGATTGCAAAGACGGTCCTAACAAGACCCTTTCCCCACGCAGGACCTGAGCCTGCTTCCTTACGGAGACAGGACCCTGGTCGGAGACAAAGGGGTGTCGCTCAGCGGTGGCCAAAAGGCCAGAGTGAACCTGGCACGGTGAGTGGAATCTGGTCCTTCGCAAGAAAACAAAAAAGAAGCATCTTGGATGTGACAAAGGAGAAAGTCGATCCCTGTCCTTAGTCTCTCCTGACCACCAGCTAGCGCGTCGAACTAAAAAGAAACGCGACTTTGTTTCATCGAAATTGAGGAAAAAGAAAAACTGTTTTTTTTTTTTACCCTTTGAATTGGTAGCCAGAGCAAGCTTTCGGGCGATCTTTCTGTGGCTCGTTGCGCAAATGTTCGCCAAAACCACGCGCTTGGGTTGGCAACGCTCACTCTGTGTGCTACGCTCCGGGCACTGTTAAAGCTGGACGGTTCCCGTCAGCACAATGCAACTTTGCCGGCGGATTGACTCACCACCTGAGGTAAGACGATTTGTGAAGCAGCGCTCGTGCCCATTCCGAGGGCCGGCCATGACACACCCGGAACCTCTGAGGCCCTGGCAAGTCGCGATGAAGTCGGCGAACTTTCCGAAGATGTGAAAGAAACAGCAAATTCACTTCGACAGAGTGGTCGGTGCCGTTATTAAAGCTACCAACCTCTCCACCATCTTCCATTACTTTTATATTTGCCTTTTAATTTTTTGCTCCTCTAGTTTTTGTATGATTGCCTAACACACTGAATATTATGCTAAATATGTTTGCAAACCTTGAAGGCAAAATGTACGTTTCTGGCTCTATGACACGCATGTTCTATATTACAATATTTACTCACAAATACCGGCGCCTTCGTATGGAAGGCCTCGTGGATCGGGCTCTATAAAACAGCGCAGTGAAAACTCTCTTTCAACGTAAACGCACAAAATCCGAACGTATAATTGCAATCAAGAATCTACAAGAGCCGACGTTTTCGCTTTTAACTTGCGATAAACTGGGTAAAACAAAGCAAGTGATGCAGAATGTTTTCATTCAGATACTTGCGCACATGATGAGCGCACATACCGGGTGGAGCGAAAGGTGTTGACGGTGGGGCCATCTGTGCTCCTTCGCAGGGCGCTGTACTACGACGCCGACATCTACCTGCTGGACGACCCGCTGAGCGCCGTGGACACGGCCGTCGCAAAACACCTGTTCGAGGCGTGAGCGAACCTTCTCGTCCCAATCGAGGCCTGACCATGCTCCCAGGATGGTCAGAGCTTTTCCCAACTTGGGCTCAGACGCGCTACCGAGGACGCCTGTTGTACTCAGGGACAACCTTCTGTGGCATTTTAGAAGAACGGAGGAGCTAGCGCGCCTCGATGCTGCTGAACGCAGCAACATTCAGACACTCGGGGAAGAGCGCCTGGGTGGCTCCACAGTGGTGGCTCTCACCGAAATAAGGCCAAGTCCCTCAATCAAATTTATGCTTAGGGTTACTCACAAGTACCGAGGGAGGATCGGTGGCCGAGTGGCCTGGCGCACACCAGCCATGGAGCACGCGGAGCGAAAGCTCGCACTGCAGAACCCAGGGGTCCTGTGTTTAATCCATGGTTCAATCCCCACCTCTGCCCGTTTTGATCTGGAGAAGCATCTTACTGGCGTGCGGCAGTGTAACACTACTGCGTGATGCACGTTAAAGACCCCAGGCTATAGCGGTTGTACTGCACTGGCTAAATTGCTCATCGACTGCTGAGACACCAGACGCCCATTAGGGAGGACTAATACCCTTGTAAGACGGACCACGGTCGTAAATGCTTTAGTAGAAAGAACAAGTTCCTAAATGGAGGAAGAGTTCGTGTCATACGGAACCGTGCAGATGCTCCTTCCCCTAAAGAATCATTTTCGGGAAAGGAGCTTGCTAGCGTCATTTAGCACAAATGAAGTACTCTCGACAGAAGGTGCTAACGGCACTGGAGGCGAACTGGCGCATCATATCTTCTCCCTGGGGTTAGAACTTCAAAATACTGACCTCACTATTGTTTTTTTCAAGCGTCGGCTGACGGTACTGCACCCTTGGAAGGCTTTCGTTGATAATTAGAACCTTAACTGTGTCAGAGACGATCTGTATCCTCTTCATCCTCACAGGTCTCGGACTATTCAACAACTCGCCAATGCTCTCACTCCTTTTTCTGGTATTGTTGGTATAAATCATTAAACCACCACAGAGCAATGCCACAGCTTTGACCATCTGTTTTATATACGTTATTTGAGGAGCATGCACGTGCGCGTGAGTCTAGGGCCCGCAAGATGACCACGGTTGCTGTGACGTCGCCATAAAAAATTCGTCATTTCCAATTAATTGAAACTTTAAGCAGAGTTAGCTATGTCCATAGACTTTGCTGTGACGTGTCGGATGCATCGTTGTGACGCTACTGTGATATTATACTGAACTGCACATTTTGTTCAAAAGCTCAAAATTACTGGAACCTTTTGAACAGTAACTGTCGGTTCCACTGCCACTCTGTGCCCTATACGTAGCTTGCACTGAATTTACTTGGTCAGACTTAATGGAAGAGAAGGCGCGTGAAAGCCTATAGCTTCCGCTGCGTACATGAGACGCTTCTTGCCACCAGAAAGGAGGGACCGACCGTCATGTGCAAGATACTATGTATTTCATTTCAACTAGAAAACGATCATACAGAATTCCTCAGGCTCTAATGTAAGCCACATGGGCTATGTATCCACTCTGTATCAAACGCTTCCATTCCTATAGAAAAACAAAAGTTTCATTGACGTAGCCCTCGAATGCGTGTGGCATACCTCGTGAGGACTAAAGGCTGGTTCACATACTTGCTCAAGTCCAGCCGAGTGCGACTGCAACGGCTTGCAACTTTAATCATTTTACGGGTTGCTATGGGAACGCGGTTTCAAGCCGCTTGCAACCGCCATTGCTGCTGCGCGGCGCTGTCGTAAAGGCTCGATCACACAGCGGTGCTGGAGTGCGACTGCAACCACTTGCGTCCCGTTAAGGCTTCTTGCGTCGAGCTGTTGCTATGGCGACCCTTACAACGAGCCAATGGGGAGGCGCTGTGCCGCACAACGCAACGCTGTCGATGCAACTGTGTGAAGGAGCCTGTGACGGCTTAAAAACCGGTTGCGGTCGCACTCGGACGGACTCAACGCCAGTGTGTGATCGCCCTTAAGGGCTGAAACGTAATAATCTATCGAATGTCGAGTAAAATACAGATAATAGGACGCTTGCGTAAGGGTTGAAATGATATATTTGCGATTTATATACAGCAAATGCTTAGCCGCGGTTTGTTTTTCAACAAAGAACGACGATCACAATATCCGCTTTCTGCCGACGTGTTCTTTGTATCCGCTATTTATAAAGCGCTTGCATTCCTCGGAAAGCTGGAGGTGTATTCCCGTAGAGTTCTTTCGAATACTTTGGACTGGTTTGCGGGAACACATACTTACAGTGGCAACTGCGGTGGACGTGCGTGCTTCGTATGCCGTGAGGCGTTGAAGAAGACACGCGATGCAGGGATGCCCCTCGCAACGTAGTCCAAGTCTGGGGTAAGGTGCAGCGGTTTCTCTCGTTCAGGTGCATCCGCGGCTACCTGAGGAACAAGATCGTGATCCTGTGCACGCACCAGCTCCAGTTCCTCCGGTCGGCCACCCAGGTGCTCGTCCTGCGAGAGGTAACTTCACGGAGATGCGCGCCCTTAGCGTTCTTTCCCAACTCCCCCTACACTCCCCTAATTCACGCGGGAGGACCGATGGCAAACGGACGATCCGAATGCAGATTTCCTTACGCCCCGTGGCGTACCTATAGGGCGTGGTACGGAGGGAACTTAGTGCCCTGGGAAGAAGGCGCCGGGCCAACGAGTACCAGAGGAAAAAGCCCCGAATTAGTATACATAATGTAGGTAAAACAGCGCAGAATGACAAAGACTATAAGGAAGGAACAAACAGGACGGAACAGTTCCTTCTAGTCTTTGTCGTTCTGCGCTGTTTTACCTACATTATGTATACCCTACTCCAACTAGCCAGGTCTCAACGTTGGCCCCGAATTAGACTCGCAAAAAAGCACGGGGGGTCGAAAATGTTCTACCGAGCGCCTTCTCTACGTCGTCGAACAAATCTCTGGTCACTGCTTTTTAGTTGGGCCGAGGTGAGCTTCTTACTTGCGTCGCGACTGGACCGCCCGCAGGCGCAACACAGCACACCCTTACGAGACTTCAACAGCTCCGCCATTGTTATCTTTGGCTAGCGGTCTCTAACCATCGACATAGGACTGCGGCGACTTTTCCGGTGGGTCTCCATTGTCGCGGATATACCCCAGACCATACTCGGAGCAGATATCGTGGCCGAACTTTGGCCTCTCCGTCAACATCCGTGGCAGAAGCTTACCAGATCCTTGACTGGTATTCCGTCGTTATTCGAGGCTCCTCTGATGGATCCCCTTGCGGTGCCTTCGAGGTATGAAGACCTCCTTATAGGGTACCGTGCCATAACCCGACCGTGCGATTCCGAGGTGCCAACCAAGCATGGTGTCAAGCCTGAAACACATGTGAGCAAAAATCGCGTAGCATATGGCGCCGCCAAGCAGCGTAACCGTACAGCAACCGTCGCACGAGATGGCACGGCATTGGCCGTGCCATCCCGTTATATCGTCGGCGCGACGCGAGGCGATTGTTGCCCACGTGTGTTTTACGCTTAGAGGGAAGCTGAAGCGTTTTTGAATTTGATTAAAAACACTCGATTCTTTTTAGTCCAACTTCAGGCATCACGAACATCACACAAAGTAGGCTAGTTCATGCCAGTATTAACTAGAAAGACGTCTTTGAAGTGGTGTTAAAACGACGACCCTTCACGGCAACGAAAGAGGAAAGTGAAAATAGAATGGAAAACACGACGTCACGAAAGGTTCCTCTCGCGTGCTCCTCAGCTCGCACAGCCAGCCTCGTGCGCTGTCAATACTGAGATAGTTGGTTTTCCGTGCTTCTGAAAGATGCCAGTTGAACGTAGGAAGATGCACGAAGAGAGAGAGAGAGAAAGAAAAAGGACATACACACAGCTGGACTAGCAACCATTTACTGAATATCTTCTTCTACCACGCCCATTAGTTTTATATCTCCAAACCAATGGGTGCGGAAGAGGAAGAGGTTCATCTTCTGTTAATGGCTGCTAGTCCAGCAATGGGCTAGTTCAGCCAAATGAATTACTTATGGCCAATCAGGATTTTCCCGTACCACCGATGCCGACACCGAGGCCGACGCCAGCTTTCTTAGGACAAGAGCTCCTTAAAGGGAAGCTACGGAGCTTCTTCAAAAAAAATGAGTTAGAAGTGAATTCTAGTGTATTTTTACCTCGTGAACCCGAATACCAAAACCATTTGCCGGGCAAGTATTTTTAAACGCGAGAAAAACGCGAAAGATGGTCGCTGTCCGTGACGTCATTGACGGATCTTTTGGCTTGCCAAGGCTAGGGAGGCGGGGCTTCAGCCCTATTTTCAAATTGCTCTTATGGCTCTCCGGCGCGTCGCATTGAAATATAATTGTGATATATGTTATTCTAAAGGCCAAATGAACGCAATTCAAGCGTTTTTTCTCAAATGTAAAAGTGCCCCATCTTCCCTTTAAAGCTGTCGCTTTAATGGGCCGATTGCGGCCCCGAATTTTCCTCGTGCTTTATAATCCGTGAGAAATTCCGAACACGCGTCCGGGTCATTAAGGTGCATTCAACTGGTCCGGCACCAAGAACTCCCGTCTGTACGCGATGCTTCGTGCGCCGTTCATCAAACACAAAATGTCTATGTTCGGGCGTGTGCAATGCTAACTCGTGAGGTTGAGTTTTTTTTTTTTTTATCTCTTTGTTTACGAGGGAATTTAACATCGAAAGACTAGCGTCGCTCGCTGGCGAAACCACTTTTTATCCGCGAGGGCTTACCTGTCTCTTGGAAAGGAAAGGGTATAAATTAACAAAAGAAAAGAATAAATTTTTCAAAAAGCTAGAGTGGTTCATCTCGAATCTTCCAAAAGCCTTGGTCGCCTGCCTTCTGCAACGTCCACTACGAAGATCTGGAGAAAAAATGCTTTATTTATACTATACGTCGAATGTTGTGGCCTATCTCGTAAAGCAATGTCGATAAGTGAACACGTATCTAAAAGCAGGCATTTGGCGAGTAAATGAGCGCACCCACGAAGAACAAAGGAACACAGTATGGGCAGACCTGGGAAACTCTTTAGCGGGTCGGAAGACTTTCAGTTACGCCGCTGTCGCTGTGACGCACGACAGATGATCGCATCAATGCACTTTTTCGAGAGACCTTTTGGTAGGAAAGGCGTCTCCCAACGTGGGGCAGCGAAGGGCGCACGTCTGAAGAGAGCAAACGCGCAGGGCAAGATGCTCGGGCTGGGCACGTTCGAGCAACTGCAGCGTGCCGGCCTGGACCTGGAGTCCCTGCTGGAGGAGAAAAGCGAGGCCAGGCCCGATGCCCGGCGGGAATCCGACCCGTTCCAGGCGCCGCCGCCCGGCTCCGAGACGCTGGACGCGGCCTCCCCGGGGGCCCTGTTCGAGTCAAACATGTCCCTGGCAGGCTCCTACGAGCAGCTGGACGCCGAGCCGCAGGTACGCGGCAAGTCACCCCGGCGGGATACGTCTCACAACGGCTGACCATGCAGCCCCGTCGAAGTGGTCGAAAGTTCAGGAAGGGCGAGGACACGTCCTCTGTTAAGTTTTTTGGGTGCAATCACCCCTGTTTGCTCGGAGATCCCTCCAAACAAACTGAGGCGATTTTCGGGACGACCCTGAGGATAGTTTACGGTTTCGAGCGCAGTTATCGAGTGTCACCCGACGCACATGAAATGCTGAGTCGATACTGCCTAGTTTAGTTTTATACGTTGTTGTTCCCGGATTTTACTTTTGTGCCGTTAAGATGTGGTTTTGTGGATACCCAATTGAGGCAAAACATTCGGTGTTTGGCACCCGCTCGTACGAGTAAAGCGTGAAGAGGCTCCGATTTCACGTTCGCGCTAACTGCTTCGCTGAGTTCACGGCCTGAGGCGCGCAATGTATCCAAAACTGAGAGCGAGGTCGGTGAAATCTTGCGCACGACTAAGGAGCTTCCGTAAGTGCGGCACATAAGAGAACAAATCGCTGCGCCTTTCAGAGTTTGCATCCCGGACGGCGAGCTCCATGACCTCGTGAGTTTCAGCAGCGCAGAAAGTGTTTGTCAAACTTCAGGTGGATATCTCCTGCGCTACGCACGACAATGTTGGCGCCATCAGGACACAATACCAAGTGCATTGGTGCAACGTCAGCGTTGGGATGTACGGCGCCCCGCACTCGCTGGACGTGATGCGTGTGTCGTACAGGCCTACCCCCCCCTGGGGGGGGAGGAGCCCTAGCTCTGGGGATTCTCTCAATGAGATGGGGAATAAAGAGGGATTCTCCAACCCTAGACTTTCCCACTGGAGAAGGGGAATCCCTGGATCGGAGTGGGCAACCGGTGGTCGAAGCGGCCTCTTTAAGGGGAAGGCTGACATAAACGGTAGTGTCCTCTCCAGCCTTCCCAAGGTGGGAGGGCCCTCGCCCTGGGGCACCCTCTGCGTGGGAGCCGAGAGATATCAAACTAATCACTGGGGCGGGGCTGCTCGGTGCATGGTTCCCATGCCGTGACCGTCGGACCCGTTGTGGTACACACTCATGCCCCAGTAGCGGGGTCGGACAGGGTCGAGCACTGAAGGGCTCTTCCCCGCTGGTTTTTTCCAGCCTATTCCTTTGGCCAGTCCAGTTTTTTCCCCTTCCCAAATTGGCTTTACAGTAGAATATCTATTTGATTCAAGGATCCAATTAATTTTTATCGAATTGGCTTTAAATCGGTTGTGCCCTCTGAGGCGGTACCGATTGAGGCATTTTTATTTTCTTATATTTTTACAAGCCTCCCCTTATCAAATGTCGTACAGGCCGAGCCGAAGGCCGACGGCGGGGCGCAGCCGAGCGAGGTGGAAGAGTCCCGCAGCACGGGCTCCGTCCAGGGCCGCGTGTACTGGAGCTACATGCGGGCCGGCGCGGGGCCCATCCTCATGCCGCTGCTCTTCGTCAGCAGCATCCTGGCCCAGGCCATCTTCAACGGGAGTGACTTCTGGCTCACCTACTGGTAAGCGCCTCCGGACGGAGACTCGTATCTGTGGCCAGCCGGCAAGTCCTTTCGTCAGTTCCTCGAACCCGTGAGAGAATGCAATCTGGCTTTCTTAAACTTTACGGAAGGGAGGCATTCGTTTTTGCACATTCGTTTACATTAGCTTGCGCTAGCGTAAATCAATGTGCGTGCCGGTGGATGCGCGTCCGTGGGACCGCCTGTTTGCCTTTTATATGGCCCGGAGCGGGGAGTCTGTGCTGCAAGAGTCGGAACTACCTCGCAGGACCAGCATGTCGGAGAGCAGAGGGAACGAGAGCTTATGGGAGCCGATGGAGAGCAACACGTCGGCCGCGGCGGACGACCCGTGGTCCTGGTGGAGCTCGTGGTGGGCGGCTCTGGACCCGGTCACGTACAACGTGGTTGTGTACGCCATAATCATCGGCGGCCTCGTGCTGTCGTCGATGGCTCGCACGGTGGCCTTCTTCGTCATGTGCATGCGAGCGTCGGTGAACCTCCACAACCGCATGTTCCGCTCCGTCATCCGAGCACCCATCTACTTCTTCGACACAAACCCCATCGGTGAGTTTAGACGGACGACTCTAGGAAGTCACTCAATGAGAGAGTTCCTGCCTGCCGTCTATGGATACGCGGCCAGATGCTGAGATCGCACGACCGCTTGCTCACTTTGCTATAGCCTGCCGCTCTACAAAGGAATGGCTAGAAGCTGTAATCCAGCTAAGGTTACTGGATTCGTCGCTTGAGCCACGGCTCAGCGTGCAATGCTTTTTCGTTGCTCCGGCTTCGCCCTGCTCCCGCTCGTTCAGCGCCAGCTACCGTGATCGCTGGTCAGCCGTGGCTCAGGACCACTCACTGCGGCCGCTCTGAGGACTTTCATGTCCCCCGGCAAGAAGATCCACTCGGCAGGCCCAGCGGAGCGGGGACCCCCATGCGACCGCTGGCTAGAGAGTCGTTTGATTGGAGTCCTTAACGTCATCGCCATCTTGGCATTACGAGCGTTTGATCCGAATGGGCGACCTGCGTTGCCCCTTCGAAAGGACCATCGGTGGCTTAACGTCTTACGCTGTAATGTTAGGGAGTTCTAGAATGATGTACAAACGTTTAGCACTTGCGTTAGCGCACGCTACGGAAGAGAGTTTTAGTATAGCCCTTTTCCTCCGCCGCCACGCAAAAACCCAAGCATCTCTCGTTGCAACGAAACCAAGATACAGTAACAATTGTTGTTTCACACACAAAATGGTGTAAGTTAAGAAAAATTGAGCAGTCCTGTGTTAATCCGCAGTATACAGTCATAGCGAAAGCTGTGACACGTCACGGAAAAGTCGTAGGGCATCGGTGTCGCGTTCACGCATGCCCGTGGGACATTGGGGTGTGTGAACAAAATTGTATGAAAGCGCGTCTCCCGGCACAAGCTCTTGGCTTTGAGAGTGCTAGAGCAACTAAATGAGCGAGGCTCATTTAGTTCAATTTCTTGGGATACGTTACCATGCGTGTTTTCGCACTGCCAGCATTTTGCACGAGTGGTCACTTTTGCCCCCCCTCCCCCAACCTTTCTAAAATGTGCTTACTTAGTGGTTTTGGTGGCCCTCACCAAATTTCTATTCGCAACCATACGTTTATTATTTTCACTTAAAATATAATTAACAAATTTTAGTTAATTATCCGACGTAGCTTGACAATTAACACCCCTATATTGTGTCGTCTCGGGCCCTTACAACCCACCTGCATAGACCATATTAGTGAAACTTTAGAGGCTCTTTAAAATAACGCCTAAGCACTTCCTATGAGTTGTGAATGCGAAAGCATGAACGTCGTTCCTCCGCTCCTCTTCATCGCGCGCTGCCGCCTTCCTTTTCATGGGTGGAGGGGGGGGGGGGGGGAAGGGGGAAGGGGGAAGGGGAGTGGAGTGGAGTGGAAGGGTGGAGAAAGGGTACGCCGAGATGCTCCGAGACCCCACCGTTGAGAGGCCCCACCAGCGGGAGGAGGGGAAAGCCTCTCGGGCCGTCATAGCCGCCTGGCGGGTATCCAATCCGACGCACTAGAAGCCTCGCCCCGGCCTGCACCGCCGCACGAGAGCCAATGGGAGCCTCGTTCCTTGATGACGCGCGCCAGTCAATGGGAGCGTATGGCTCAGATTTCGGTCACAGACGACATTGAGACGGGGAAAGAGCCGTCTGGCGCGGCTTTAAAGCTGATGACGTAGGTTCTGCTCCATGGGACAGTTAATGCTTTCGCATTAAAAAAGTAAGAAACCCGTAGAACCTCAGAAAAGCTCCTTTATAAGGACGTAGAGGTTTTTCGAGGAGGCGAGAGGCGTTTCTTTTGAGTTTAGAGTTGGACATGTGCGGGTATGCAAAAGGTGTTTGTTGCATTTCTGACACGTGCAGTTGGTGCTCGCTTGGGCTCAGGTATGACGGAAAATTAGTTGCACCTAAAACATCTATTTAGATTAAAAGCCCCCAGTCATTTCAGAGTTCCGTCCTTTATTATTTTTAGCGCCTCACCGACGAAAAACACTACTTGTAATGTTTACTACGCAACACTTCGATGCTGTCGATATTCTTGAGAGCGAGTCACTGAACGTGCCACCGATTATTTCGGACGCGTTATTAATCTCGGAGATTTTTTCTCGGTACCTTTTTTCGTAGGGAGAATTCAAAACCGCTTCGCCAAGGACCTGGGTACCATCGACGACCTCCTGCCACCCACCGGGCTCGACATCACGTTCGTAAGTGGCTCGCTGCGGCGGCATGCGGACGGGCGTGCGCAGAATGCCCCAGAGGGGAAGCGTCGGCGCGACCCGCAGTCAGCGCTCCTGCGCGCATCACGAAATCCCTGTCAGTAGACGCGTCCTTTTTTGGGCCGCCATACTTCTTTCACCGGTACTCTTTGGTCTGTTTGGCTGCGCAACGTGAAAGCGGCTTTGTCTTTAGCTCTGCCAGCCTTCTGCCATCAAATTAACGAAACATTTCGATAGAAGCTTAGAAGGACTTAGAACAGTTTTATTCGTTTGTTTGTAAGATGTTTATTTTGGCACAAATGGATGTTAGCAGAATAAATATATTAAGGCGGGGCTCTCAAAGCTTTCAGGGAAAACTGTTTAAGGGACCCCGTTGTTACGTTAAAGTGAGTAAACCATCAACTAAAAAGCAATGTGCCAAGCTAGAACTTTTGAAGTGGTGAAAAAAACACATGCGAGAGAAAAATGCGAAATGTCGGCATTCTTTGCCGAAAGATTAGTTGCAATATGTGCCGAAGAATAACAAATAAAAAAAGCGTGCGGCACGGAGGAATAAAGACAACCAGAAAAAAAAAATAGCAACGGGGTGGCGAGCATTAATTTTAGCGCGAGAGAGAGAGAGAGAAAAAAAGAAAGAAAGAGAAAAAAAAAGTAATAAAGCGATAAAAATGCAGGAAAACAATCAAGGCTATATGTAAACGCAGCTTCATAGAAGGTCATCTAACACTTTATGTCTTGTTTTCTCGTACACGATATCGACTTTGAGCGCGCCTTTTTCCATACAGAGTGGTTGGCACCCGTGAGCATTTGATCAGCCTCAATGTATACGTGAAGCTCACGAAGCGAAGCGTGTTGGCGCAGATCTTTTTGAACCTGCTGGGCGTGCTGGTGGTGGTGGCGGTCATCAGCCCCTGGATCATCGTGCCGACGCTGGTGCTGTTCGTGGTGTTCTTCTTCCTGCGGCGCTTCTACATGCGCACGGCCCGGGACGTCAAGCGGCTCGAGGGAGTCAGTAAGCGCCTCTCTTCTCCCGGTTCCCGCACGCGCGTCGGATTGTGGTCGTGCCGGCGGCCAACGTGAGCAAACGGGCGTCCTTTTCTCGCATATCCGCCCCGTTAAAATAGCGAGTTTTAGTAGACCGTGTCTCCCCCTCCGCTAAGCCCCTCCGCTACCCGGGGAACTCTACAGCCAAGACCATCGGCACGTAGGCATAGTGGCGGTTTCTTCGTAGCGGAGGGCTAGCGGAGGGGAAAACACGGTCTACTAAAACTCGCTAATAGAGAGTTTTAGTAGATCGTTCCGATACCTCCGATAGCCCCGATAACGATACTATGCATGCGCAAGGGAGGCGGTGGCGGAGTATCGGGTATCGTTATCGGAGTCATAGGAACGATTTACTAAAACTCTCTATTGTCTCGGAACCTTTAAACGGGGGGTGTGCCTCGGAGGTTGTTTAGCGGAGCGCTGTGTTTCCCCGTGCAGCCCGCAGCCCGGTCTTCTCGCACCTGAGCACGTCGCTGTACGGCTTGACGACGATTAGGGCCTTCGGGGCGCAGAGCACCTTCGAGCGCATGTTCGACACCAAGCAGGACCACCACACGTCCGCCTGGTACATGTTCCTGTGCACGGCCCGCTGGTTCGGCATCACGCTGGACTCCATCTGCTTCGCCTACATCACCGTGGTCACCATGTCGCTCGCGCTGTCCGGGGACGGTGCGTGTCCTCTCTCTTTTCCGCGTCTCCAACTGTATACCCTGCAAAGCACACCCACCCCACCTAGAATAATCGAAGCCCGTGCAGCATAACACATTTTACATTTTCTAAGCGAGAGCGAGTGTCACGGGAACGCATCTGCAACCGTGGAAAGTTTCCAGGATGCTAATTGCAGCTCCGGGTCCTGATAAAGGAGGCAGAATTCGAGGGTTTGTGTTCTGTCGGCTCAACGCGATTGTTGCGACAATTCTGTGGATGTCTTTTTTTATAAACAGCTTTCAGAAACGATGAATATGATGACATTTGGTATATTCCAAATAAAATCTCCTCATGATTTACCAGCCAAAATTTATTTGAGGATATTTGCTGTCGATTCCGAGCAGCGACTCGAAAATCCAACAAAAGTAATCCAAGGTATGACCATCGGCAGATTTTGATGACAATTACAAACAAATAGGCCAATTGGTCGATTGGATAAAGATCCCAATCTATTAAACCTGCATCAATGCGGGCGAGAGAAGGTAAAAAAAAGCCCGAGGTACACCTAAGCGCTTCTTATGAGTTGTGAATGCGAAAGCATGCGTGTCGTTCTTCGGCTCCCTTATTTTGACTGCGGCGTACTTCCGTCGACGGCCGAGCGCGCGCTGTCTTCGCCACGCTGACCTTGTACGTGGAGCCGCTGCCTCCCCTCGGTGGCCAGACGCTTCGTACGTGTCACCGGCGCGCTGGTGGCGCAGACACGCAGTGCCATGGGGTGGCGGTCGTTGAAACTGCCGTGCAGTGGCCAATAGGAGCATCGCTCCTTGAAACCATGAAGCGCCAGCCAATGGGACCGAAACCGAAATCCATCGGATTTCGGCTTCAATCCGCTCCTTTGGGATCGGGGAAACTATAGTCGGTGACAGGTCAAGAACGAAGTGGACGCTCCTCCCACCCCTTTCCACTTTAGCAGAGCGAACGCTGTACGGGAGGCGACATCCTGTTTAGCGTTCGCTCCGCCAAAGTGGAAAGAGGTGGGAGGAGCTTGCACTTCCTTCTTGACCTGTCACCAAATATATGTGCCGTTTGGCTAGGCTTTTCGCGTGGCTTCAAAGCTGGAAGCCACCAGATCGTGGCTTCACTTGGAGAAAGGAGTTTAGGTGCCGTTTGGCGCGGCTTCAAAGCTGATGACGTCGGCTCGCTCCATGAGACAGTTAATGCTTTCGCATTAAACAAATGGTGGCCAAAAGCATCTCGAACAAGATGGTCCCGGGCAGAATTGCGCACCCAGATGAATCTCAGCTATGGTTGGAATCGGCCATCTTCCTAACGCGTTGTACATTTTCGTCCTACATGTGGCTACTGTTGCCAATTAAAAAAAAAAAAAAGAAACAACATTTGTCGGTGCATAGGTTTACTATGCTGCAAAAATTTCCGTAGAAGTTCGGCCGCAGCTGAAGAAACGTTCAGGGGCTCCTGCTTTGTGACGATGTCGGATGCGCAAGAAACGAATGCCCGTGGTTCGGAGTACGGTAGAGGCAAACGCGCAGCCCCCGCGCGGCCATCTTCGAGGCACATATGCGGAATTGCGTGCGATTGTTTTTAACGCTTCGGCCGAGTCGCGGGAAAGAGTCGCGTTAACTACCCGAGCCGCTGAGCACGTGGGCTCGGCCGCTCGGATACGGTGGCGTAGCCCGGCCGCTGTCCAGCTTGATGAGCGAAGATTGTGGAATCACGGCTCCCGGAGCGGCGTCTATCGCCATTTCAATCAGACGGGAGCGCGTGGCGTTCAAGCGAGCAGACGAGCAAGCCAGCATATAAGAAAGGACGCGCGTGCGCACTTCGCCGTTTTCGAGACCAGGCGCCGCGTGCTCTCTGTGTGACGTCACGTCACTTCCGTGACCAAGTTTTCGTGATATTGGCCTCCCAACTTTGCACCCCCTTCCAAAGCGCGGAGAAAAACGTAGTTGTACGTCGAAATTGATCGCGATATTTCAAGCATAGCCTCCTTTATTCTGGAAAGCTTGTTGAATCGCGAAAGAATGTGGCCGCTGTAAAAGGGAAAGAAGACCAGAGAAGTTGACGGGCGCAGGGTCTCTAGAGTAACTGTATAGGCTCTATCGGAGCATATGCAGTTGCTCTAAGGGGCTCTCTCTAGCAGCGCCAAACAAAAGCCCCAGCGGTAAAATCCGGACACACGAACGCGCTCCTTTTTGCTTTTTTCGCGAACATTTTACGTCAAACCTTCTCCATTCCACCTCTCTCCCGTTTCTCCATGCGCGGGTAGCCTCCTTTCTTTTTTCTCCGTTGCGGTTTGTTGCTGTTTCCCATAGAGGCCACCGCGCCCCACTCTTGGCACTGGCTGAAAGGTTACCCCAGAAGTGGCTCTGCGCTACCATGTGGGTAACCGTTCGGCGCTGCTCCTCGCCTTTTTTGGGCAGCCGGAATTGACAAGCTTTCTAGAATAAAGGAGATTATGGCACAACTTATCCATCAGATACAATAGAGTTCTTATGACGCGCGCTAAAGTGGTTGCGCGCTCTCGTGTACCGCGCTCTGCCGTCGGCGCTCTCGAGACGCTTTCCTGGCTTAAAAGCACCCTGACACTGGCCACTGATCTCTACTATAGGGGGCTGGATGACGCGTCGAGCGCGTGGGACTGAAGTCGCCGGAAGTAAGCGGCTTGTTTCGGAAGTCGGCGCTTGGCTGGCTTTGTAAACCTTCCGAGTGCTGGTTCGAAAAGCGTCGAGGGCGCTAGATTTTCGCTTGTCGCCTCAAGAGAGCCTGCTTGCTGCGTTGTAAGAGCACATGCAGACCCGTGAAGTATCATGGGAAGCCATTCAATGTAAGCATCTTGAGATCCTAGTTGATCAAGTGTGCAGATGCCCCAAGTTCAAAAGCCTCATTCTCGGGATTTAATTTGGAGCATGATTATTAAAACCCACTCGAAGATGCCGAAAAGTACGGACCAAAACATCGACACAATGGAAGCCCAGCAGACGCCCGACTTCCGGGAACAGCATCAAACTTCCGGTGGCTTCACTTGCGCCCTGCTCGGAGAGCGGCTACGCGCCATCCAGCCCCCCATAATAGAGATCAGTGGCAGTGGCGCTCGCTCCTGGCCACTCGAGAAACGAGTCGGGAAAAACGTTCTTTTTTTCCTTCGAAGGATCCGTCTCCGGGGGTGGAATCGGCCTGGCCATCGCGAACGCCCTCATGTTGACCGGCATGTTCCAGTGGGGCGTCCGGCAGTCGGCGGAAATTGAGAGTCAGGTAAGTGCTCACTCGGCAATGCCAGCTATGCTCTCGGGACGCCATTTCGGCCTGCTGCAGAAACCGCTTTTTGCTTCACCCTATCGTCTGTTACAACTCCAGAAGGTAGGTCGAGGAAAAGGGAGGCCGGGAAGGCAGAAGCAGACAGAATACTGGAGAGAGGAGGAGGTTTCCTCCTCTCTCCTCCAGTGTTTCGTCGGCTTCTTCCTCTCCAGCCTCCCTTTCCCTACCTTCTTGAGCTCTGACTTACTATAGAGAGATAGGGTTTCGGGGGGCTTAGAGGTACCCTGTCATCCTCCTCTCCCCCTACCCACCCCCACTATAAAAGAAAAAAAAATTGTTTAGATTTCTTGGACATGTCACCTATGTCACAGGGAACGTCCAGAATATTTATTTTCGATATTTTTGCGGAGCGTCACGCATTTTAAGTGCGGGGTAACTCGGTCCGCTTGCAGGCGCCGGATGAGAGATAATTTTTATGTCGAGACCGACATCGCAGTCATAGAGGTAATTTTGCGGGCCTCCGATTGGCTGGAAGGAACCGCTGAGTAGAGGAGTCGCATTCGCCCTCTCCCCTCCGTCAGCTATCCATCCTCCTCACCCCTTTCCACTCGAGCACAGCGAACGCCGGAGAGCTTACTCTCACTGTAAAAAAAAGCCCGTGCGTCTACTTTCCCGCACAACACTCGGAGAGTTAATCAGCGCAACTTACGGAGGCAGCGAAACTTACTGAGGTAGCAATGCAAGCGTGACGTTTTGCATGGCTTAATGTCGCAACTCAGACTGCGTTTTGAGCAAGAGTGTGTGCTGCCCAGATGACTTCGGTAGAGCGCGTCCTGGAATACAGCAACCTGCCTGCCGAGGCCGATGTGGACTCGGCGCCCGGCAAGAAGCCGCCCGAGTCGTGGCCGGAGTTGGGTTCCATCAGCCTGGAGGGAGTGTCGCTCTCGTACGCGCCGGGGGAACCGCCGGTGCTCAAGGACCTCCGCTGCCACATCAAGCCCAAGGAGAAGGTGCGTCCCTTCTTGGCTTCGAGGAAAGGCAGCCAGACTCTCCGGGCTGTCCAAGCGAAACAAGATATGTCGCGCAGCCTTGTTTTCCTTTGCTTCGCTGGCAGCTTTGCCGATCCAAGTACCGCTTCCGCACGTTTTGCAGCCATCACAAATTAGGGAAGTTTAGAAGCAAACAAAAGAAAACCAATGATTGGTGTGGACCTCCTTAGACAACATGGGCTGAAACACCAGATCCGCCACTTTTCTGATTCTGCGGTCCCAACGAGCGCTATTATTTCTTAATTTGTTAGATAGTACCAAGTATGGGACTGAGCATTTTATTTGTAGTTCGGACCCCGGCTCTCTCAGAAACGTGAGCCACAGGAGCTCGAAGGAGAGTTTCAGCTCATACTGTCTGCGGTAGCTTGATCGTGCTGGGAGCGCCGAATGTCCAACCAAAACGCCGTACGGGAACCCCCGGCTCCTGCATGGCGTCCACGACTTACTTTTCCAAGCTCTTCGTTTTCGTCGGTGTCAGGAATGAGAGCGTGGAGAAGGATAGCTCGGGGTTTACCCAACTGGTGGTGTCAAACGACGTCATGACTGTAACCTGACGTCATGTGACGTCACAATATGACACCCTGACGTCATCTGTGGTGTCACGTGATCCAGAGTCAATCATTATGTCGTTATGGTCAGCGGACGTATTCTACGAAACGACACACGGCACTAAAGCTATTACTGCAAACCTGTTTGTTAGCCCGACAAGAGGGAACAGCGTTTGGCTAGGGACAAAGAGGCAAGCTGGGCTCCTTCTGCTACTACCGAGGGACGGCTAGGGAGCGTGCTTCGTTTCAATTCAAGAAGCAGAATAGGCTTCGGGTCAGTTTAAGAAGCAGAAACATGTAGGGGTGTTTTGTGAGCAGTTTGGCGTCCGATGGCCGTCGGTTTGGTCAGGTAAGGGTCCCCTCGCAGGTGGGCGTGGTGGGCAGGACGGGCGCGGGCAAGAGCTCCATCATCGCGGCGCTGTTCCGGATGACGGAGCCCGACGGACCGATCCTGGTGGACGGCATCGACGTGCGCCACATCGGGCTGCACGACCTGCGCACCAAGATTTCCATCATACCTCAGGCGAGTCCGCCTCATTCCCTCCTGACGTCCGGGTTTGTTCTGCACCTCCTAGAGGCTGTAGTGACTTGGTTTACGAGGTTCTACACGAGAGCTGCGACACTGTTCGGACTCTTCACTCACTGAGTCGAAAGCCGATGACGCAGCACTGGTGTCCAGCCTAAAGTGAGAGGCGAGCTGCTTTTATACTGATTCGGGATAAAGGGAAAGGATCTATAACGTGAAACGTAGAGCGCAACTAATATTTCATCGAACCGGGAAATCGTTAATTAGGCCCACGATCTAATACAAGTACACGGTAAACGTTGAACACAATAAAATATTGCAACGTACCAGTCCGCAAAGGAAGAATGTGAAGGGTTTGATTTAAATACGTCCACGTTGCTTGTTTCCCTTTCGTCTTTATGACACAACCTACCAACCGCTTTCTGCTTGGTTGGTAGGTTGTGTCTGTATTGTGATGGCGTCCTTGGTTGTAATTGTTTCTTGGTTAGCAGTTCTTTTTTTCTTTTTTTTAATCTGCCTTTGTGCTTAAAGGCCGATGACCAGACTCAAGATTCTGCAAAGCAGAAGATCCTCCTCACCCTGGAGGAGGAGGATACAGGGAACGGTGGACAGGGTAGAAGGGGGAGAGGAGAAAGCTAGAGAAAAGTGGAAAGCGCGAACTGGCCGTCGGTCTTTAACGTTCAGTGAGCACTTCAGGGTCCATCAGAGGCCGAGGTTAATGTGGCGTTGAGTTTTAAACTTCTCCTGGGAATTGATCGCGAGTCCTTGGTGGGCCTTAAAGAAGAGGCCCTTTGTCCGGCGTAATCGAGTGGATATCCAGATCAGGTCCTTCCGGTGCAGCCAAGTGGCACGAGTGCGAGTAAACCCGACCGGATTCAGTGAGCTCCCCTCTTTGCCGCAGGCAATTCTCGTCTTTCCCTTTATACAATGTTCGTAGAAACTCGTTTCGGCCGAAGCCACTAAAGTTGCCGTTCGCTGCGCAGGATCCTGTGCTGTTCACGGGTCCCATTCGGCGCAACCTGGATCCCTTCGGCGAGCACGCCGACGAGCAACTCTGGACAGCTCTGAACGAGGTCGGTGGACTCTTGCCGCGAAGCAGGGGCGAGAGCCGCTCAATAGGATGTCGACACCGCATTTCCCCCATCGTGTCGAGAGCCTAGTCGGACGGTCGTCTGCGTCCTATTTTTCCTTCCGACAACGCTGCCACTAGGGCCGCAACGAGTGACTTCATTGCTCTGCTCCATTGCAACCCCCTTGAATGCGGTCTTCTTTCTGCCGCCATTTTGGTGCCTGGTGCAGTAAAATAGTTGCGATTCGCGGGAGCTCCGCTCGTCGCCTTGCTTCGGCTCCTTTAACGTAGGATCGCCTTTCCCGCCATTTGAGAAAAGCTCTGGATATTATTTTAAGCGCTGACCGAAGGTTTCGTTTCTCCGAACTTCTCTATACTGGTTCTCCGGAGCCGTGCGAATAGCGTTCAGAGACCGGTCATCCGTGCTGCAAACGGCTCATCAACGGTGCCTCCGTTCGGGCAGCTCGCGGAGGGCGGTCCGAGCCTGCTGTCAAGGTAAACAGTTGCGCTAATATTCGCCCACAATGGCTACCCGGTAGGACTCCCGTCAGACGTTTTGGGGGAGTCTAGGAGTCGACATTATGCACCAGGTTGGTGAGGTACTCTAAAGCCGTCATCAAAAGCGAGGAAATGGGTTGTTGATGAGGGACAAAAAAGCGCATTCGTCAGGCTGTGTACAAGGGCAGATAAAACATTTCGGGGAAGAAACGCTCAAAAATGCACGCGCGTCTTCCCCGCGAAGCCCGCGATGAAGGCACAGGCCTCAAAGTGCACCCGGCGGGTGGCGAGACGCACTACACGCTCGGAAGCGCTCTCTGCGTAGGGACAATGCGACTTTTCGATGGACTGCAGCAGACGTCAAGAGCCATCCTCGCCAATCCAGCGATATGTGAACGTGAGACTCGCCGCGTCTTTTCCAGACTCGTGGAGTTCTCTGCGGCAGCTGTGACTTGATTTGCCCAAAGGCCGAGAGTGGTCCCGCCTTTCGGCCTGATGCTGAACAGGATATGTCCTATGTAGGTCGATAATAGTCGAGTGTCGAAGTGTTGCCTTCCTTATCTTTTTGCCAACTCCTCATTGGAGGAGAAGGGCTCACACGCTCAAAACCTCTCCAAAGTGCTGCGGGGAAACGGCCTCACGGAACGTCGAGTTGTGGGTCGAATGTGATATCCGCTTCACGCTTGTAAGATGTGGAAGTCACACTAAAGTCTAACTAGCGGGAAGCATTTGGAACCTTCGAACATTATGTGTGCCATTTAGGTAGTGTGCAATAGCTTTCTTTGTGTTTACATAAAGGAATCTATGGTCATGTTTCTACAGTCTAATATAGGTACCTGGCGTCATATAATATATAATCGTAATACACTTGGTCGTGTGTCTTTGCATAAATACATAATATAATCAGTTTCAGCCACCCAACTTAAGCTGTCAGTCACTAAATCAACTAAGTTGTGAAAACAAAAAAAAAAGAACAGTAAAACGACAAAGCGTAGATTTTTCTTTTTTTTATATAGGCGAGTTGATTTATTGCTTCGCTTGCACAAATTATATCAAATAGATCCCATCTGAAAAAAAAAATTCACAAGGTCTCTTATGTTATAATTATAATGCAATTAAATGGAAAGTTGTAATGGAGAGGTCCCGGGTTCGATACCCGGACCAGGCGGATTTTTTCGGTCGCGCACCAGTCACCTAGCTGTGTTTGGAGATTTGTGTTTGTCCTCTGTCCCCCTTTTCCCCCTTCTCCAGGGATTATTTTCGTCAGTCTCTTATGTTATTCCTAAGACGTCTTGAAGGCGAAAGTCCAAGCGCCGATCCCGGAGTTAGCGAACCTCCAAAGACAGCGCGCACAATGACGACACACTTTTGGCCCCATTAATCTCACGACATGTCGCACGCCCGTTCTTCTCCACTGTCCGAGCGAGAGTGTCCTCTTCTCCCGCTGGGTTTGCGTGTTTCCGCTCAAGGACTGAACGATACCGAAAACGCGGCCAAAGATGGTATTATAGTATAATTTACCCCATTGATGCGTTATGGTAAATGTGTAATGTGAACGTATGCAAGCTAGATCTTGCCTCACTAAAAAAAAAAAAAAAAGCTTTTTTTTTTTGCGATTTAAGTCAATTTCAATGTGGTGGAGGTTGTGGGGTCCGTCGGGACATTTCATTTTTCAGATCAAAATAACAAGAACCAAACTTGTTTTCTGAGTTGTTGCGAAAGCCCTATCCACATTGGAGAGTATTCCGGGGATGGATGAGCGTGACGTCGACGGCGAGTGCCATTCCCTTCTCAGCTTGGTCTTTCAAACGCACGAGGTTGTCGGCTTTCGCAGTCCACTTGAGCGGTTTCCGCTCCTGATACCACCAGATTTAGCTATCTCTATTTTGATGCCGTAGCGTTCAGCGGCACATTGAAAACAAACTGATCCGTTGCCGTATTGTTTGTGCCACCCTCCGCCGCGGAGCTGACGTGAAAGCGTTGCATCGCAAGAGCCTTACGTTTTCGTCCTGTTATGCGCGCTACTGGGAGAAATCCCCGGTTTTGCTCCCTCGCGTGAATACTCGTCAATCAAAACTCCCCAGTGGCTCAAGGAGTTTTACTTTCAATTTATATTTATTGATGGTTCCGTCAGGGCGTGTTTCCTCAGACCTGCTAAATTTATCGGGGAAATTGTTCCTCTAAAATAGCGGAGAAGTTTTTCCCATATATATAACGGGGAAATTTTCCCACTAACTTTTAGCAGAAAATTTTCCCCGCTAAGTTTATGTGAAATTTTTTCCGCTGAAATTTGCAAGAAATGTAGCGAAACTACACTACTAATATACATTTTTTATGAATATTTCAAATCTGTACGCGCAGATGCCGATTTCAGCGTGAGCATCGGCATTTATGTCACCCCAATTCAGGCTACTGCAGCGCATCACTCTAGGTGCTGAATAAAAAGCATAAAATCGGCCACACCGCTATGTTTTGAGTCTCGCGACAATAGAGGATGTTACAAACTAATTTGTTTAGTCAATACAAACATTAAAACAGCACGTCAAGTCGTTTTTTTTTTGTTATTTAACCGCAAGACCAATTGATGCGGTCGCGGAGAGAAACAGCTGCTCCCATTTCTTTCCAGGTGTGCACATAGCAACAAACTGTGCTGCATAGCCGCTCTAACTTTATAATTTGTGATTATTTGGTAACTGTGGGCGATTCCAATTTTTACAGCAACCAAAAAGCAGACAGGCGGTTTACGTAGCAACGCGAGATCGCCACTTTGGCAAGCAGGAACGTTCTCTTGTCAAACGTACCGTAGTAGAAACTCAAACTCCGTAGTGTTCGTTCTGCGTAGCACATAAGCAACACGACAGCAAGCCGAACCAATCTGAGGACTAGTAATTAGACACAAATAAAAAATAAAGAATCAAAAGCATGAACCTTTTGTCAAGTGGCTACTGCAGACGCGGGAGCTGACGTATTTACAAAACGAAAAAATAATAGAGGAACGAAAACATGAACCTCAAGTGGCACCCGCAAACGTGGGGGCAGACTTGTGTGTACACAGCAGTAAAAAAAAAATAAAGGAACAGGAGCATGAGCCACCTGAAATGGCAAAGAATGCAAACTCGGGAGTGCTTTGAAGGCTACCTTTACGAGCCGTCCGCGTTGTTTCGCCCGAAGAAACTTAAACCGGGACAACGCTCGCTGTCGTCGCTGGAGCTGCCAACGGAGCAGCGTTGGGGCATGTCGGAGAAATTGGAAACGCGCGACCACCGCCGCTTCCCGCAGTCCCGAGCCGGACTCAACACGCCATCGAAAATGCCGGACTCCTGTCTGCCGCTGCTGCGTATGGGCCGTGGGAACTTCGGAAAAGGCCCAATGCATTTAGTAGTTAAATAAAATAGAGAAAACCGTAAAGAAAACAACCGAGTCAAAGGAACACAAGCGTCCAAGGCGTTCGTCTGGATTTTTCTTTCGTTCCTAACCGGTGCGCTGAGGAAGCTTGTCGTAGACGAAGTGCATATAAGGCACAAGAGGGCAATAGACTGCGGAAGCAAAAAGGGGGTGAAAATTCCGAGAATCGTGCTCAGGAGGAGGCAAAAAACGATGCCATATAGGTAGCCTGAATGCCGAGCTGGCGTCGTTGTGACCGACCTTACGCGACTTCGTCGTAAATGCACTCCGATATTTTGTGTCGGACTACGATGTCCATTAAGTGAAACACTGTACTTTGCTTCGTCGCACCCCTCCACGTCGAACCTCTGGTTGGATGAAAGTTCTCTCCACACAGAACGCAAGCGGGTGGCGCTCAGGTGCTGTGTACCTTATTCAGGGGAAGCGACGCCAGCAAACAGCGCGTAATCTTCGACTCCGCTCGATCTTATCTCTTTGGTCTTCCTCTCGGCCGCATTCTCCCGGGCTGCAGAGTGGTAATAAGTGGCTGGAAACTCGCCTTTCCTCAGCTGTGAGCGGGCAGCTCAGTGTGCGTGTGCGCAGGTGCGCCTGAAGGACGCGGTGCTCGAGCTCCCGGGGGGCCTGTCGGCCCAGGTGTCCGAGGGCGGCGCCAATTTCAGCGTCGGCCAGCGCCAGCTCATGTGCCTCGCCAGGGCCGTCCTACGCCAGAACAGGATCCTGGTCATGGACGAGGCCACCGCCAACGTTGACCCAACGTGAGCACACGCCGCCTTCGCAGCTGGGCCGCCCAACAAAAGATTTCGATTTACAGGACGGATGCCATGATCCAGACCACGATACGAGAGAACTTCAAGGACTGCACTGTGCTCACCATAGCGCACCGCCTGCACACAATCATGGACTCCGATCGGGTCATGGTAAGGCCCTCCCCTTATACGAGTGTTCTGGTAAAGTTGGAGCGAGCATCAGCGAGGGAGCTTTTCGTACCAGCCTCTCACGCCTCCAACGGCTCTTTCCTGGGTACCATCGAGGGCCCCACAAAAACCATCGACGCAATCCTCTTACATGGCGACAATCTCCCGCGCAGTTCCTGGTACAAAGTAACAATCGGGATACGTGGTGGAAGCTGGCAAAAAGAACGCCCAGTTTTAGTGTACCGTGTTCCCGTCTTTTTAGAATAAAATTCATTTCCGATCATTTCACTGAGGCATGAAAGGTTCTAAATATTAAATGGTTCTTCATCCACACAAACGAAAAATGTGGCCGCCATTTTTGTTTCGGATGGCCGTGCAGCGAGTGCTCCCGTAGGTGTCCGCAGAGCGCCGAATGACTTGACGACCTTTAGGAACAACTTTGTGTAGATCGCGTTCTAGAAGGGTGTTGGTAGCGTGCCAACTCAAAGCTTGCTCTGAAGCGTTTACCCTTGCAGGTGCAGGACCTTCGAGAACGGTTTCACAAAACAAACGCTCGCTAAGCAGGAAAACAAAAGTCAGCGACCTTTATTTCCGGAGTTATATAGGATGCATGGAATCCAGTCGGAAAAAGAGAGATAGTTTTAATTTGCTTAGGAGACATTACGCGTGCTTTTAGGGAATGAGAACAGACCTATTCTCAATATATTTTCCCACTAAATGTAGCTAAAAAAAACTCACCAATTAATGGGCGACTTTTGAAGGCTAATTGATTGTTGGACCTTGGAGCATAATAGAATGATTAAAGTAAAACAAAGTTGTAAGTATATCATTATATATTTGGGGAACTAATTTACTGGTGTTCGTACGGGCTTAACTTCGCAGGAACTGTGTTTTTAAAGATATACATTGTATTCAACTTATTTTGCGAAGTATAATTACAAATACCATAGGTTGATGGCAGAAGTAGAAAATCAGGACGTAAACCTTTCGATTGAAGCCCTACTGTCACTTTTTTATGTACCAAATAAATCCAGCTTCAGAAAAACGTGTCTTGATCGGTCTGATTCGATACCGGCTCATCCTCATCGAGTAGAGGCTGAACTCCACATAAAGTGACAAAAGCGACGAGCTTTGCTTAGCGGCAATCCCTCTCCGCATGGCGCTAAAGCAGTGGCTGCTGCTCCTGCCGCCGGGTGAAACTCGTCGGTTTTTCGCACCTTTCGCTCAAGTTACATTTATATAAGATACAAAAAAATATTGACTGTTCTTCGCTGCAAACCACGTTGAAATGCATTTAGAGATTTCTCCTGTGAATTCCGCTAATTTATTTGAGACGAACCTCCTTCCCTCACGCAGACCTTGGCCACGGCAGAACGAACCCACCTTGCCTCTCTGTTTCTAGCCACACACTTCTCTTTTTTCCGGCGTCTAATAGGTTAGCGGCGTTCGGCAACTTCCGGTTCCTTAGGAAATATTGTTTAGCTGTCGACAAACGACGACGATGATCAGCAAGCCTGTCTAAGCATGGTTCTAAAAGCTAGAGTCTGGAGGTTTCAGAACCATGTTTGGACAGGCTTGCACCGCATTGTCATCGTTTCTCAAGAGTGAAACAAAAATTTTCTAAAGCACTGGAAGTTCCCAAACGCCGCTCACCTATTGGCACGACGAACGCGCGGAGCATCAGTGGGCCAGCGTTTCTGTTCAGCGATGTAATCCTTAATCCGTTCGCTTTTTTGCGATGCACTGTGACGGAGATAAGAGCCCCGGCGAGCGTGTCTTTTATAATGGGACTGATGAATAAATACTAGTAGATGGTATTGGTTGTATTCATTTGTATCGGTTGTAGCTTGCGTCAGCTGGCCTAGAAACATATATACCGGTTTAAATTTTGCTATAAATTCTGTCTCTCGATGAATCATCCCCTAATTTGTGTGTTATCACGCTTCTATATGCCGCTTCCACGAACCAGATGACTGAGTCGTATCAAACTAAGAGCTCAGCTTCTTATCATACCAGAAAAAGAGTGGGCAATAGAAAATCACAAAATGTGAGTAATTTAATATTCCTTATACGTAATCCCCAATGTTTAGGCAAAAATGAACTAATACATTGTAGTATGAAAAAAAACGCTATCACATCAACCTCGTTGGACCCAAGGAGCTCTAAAAAAAAGGAACACTGAAGTAATGGCATTATTTTCTGAAAGCAATTATTTGTAATTATACTGTTTTCGAGCGCTTTTCATTCTATTTTTAATGGATTACTTTTCGATCAAAGTAGTATAACTAATTAACATTTCTAAACTAAATCTCCCCGCCCGACAGGTCTTGGATGCCGGCCGCATCCTGGAGTTCGACGAGCCTTACGTGCTGATGAAGAACGAGAGCAGCCACTTCACGGCCATGGTGCAGCACACGGGCAGGGCCATGGGCGCCCAGCTCTGGAAGGTAGCGTGCCAGGCACACGCCGAGCGCTCCGGACAGCCTGCCGACGAAGAGGCCCTTCCACCCTGGTTCGCGCCACCGCGCCCCGACCTCGTCACTTCGGGGCAACACGAGACCGTTATTGAAGAAGATTCCGATGACCAGCGCAGCACCAGCTTGTGATTCGTGCGTCCTATAATTTCGGAGATGTAAAATAAAGTGCTCTTCCTCGTTCGTAGAACCGTGGCCTCCGAGATCCAACGCGCGCGAATGCTTCTCCGGCCGTCCCATTCGTTCATGGAGAGCGTAAGCGGGGAGCGGGTGCGGCGACTCCTCTAGCCGCATGGGCAGCATGTCGGCGCTCGCCTTCTAACAAAGTTACTAGAACACTCGGTTGGGAAAATCATCCTTGAAACCTGGACCGCTGGCGTGTGCACCGAGACCGAGCTAAATACGATTTTCCACCACGCAGTTGTGAAATACGACCGCACGCCGGTACGATGCTCATCCAGATCGAAACGGGCAGGGGTGGGGATTGAACCCAGAATCCCTGGGTCACGGTGGAAGAAACACATTTAGGTGATGACTTTGGCTGCTCTTCCCGCGGGGAGCGAGCGACCACATCGTGTTCGGAGCTAGCCTCGAACCAGGAGTAGTTAGTTCCGCGCCGCCGCGGAGGGCGCTGAGGTGTGAGGTCCCTCCTCGGCGGCCACGGTGTCGGCGGCGTAGAGTGCTCGCTTTTTTGGCGGTGTGGTGGTGTGGTGGTGGTGTGAGGCCAGTGGCCGGCTTTCTGTTTTGTTTCGGTGCTGTGTCGATTACAGGTGTCACCATCGTGCGCGAAGCCGTATAGGCATTTTTTGCAAGGGCGCCGCCATCTTGAATTGTCGTCACTTCCAGTATGGGCGAAAACATTGTTTTGCTGTCGCCACGCCCATAGAAGGCATTAACGACATAAACGTAACCGTCACACACTGTCGTTTTTCCTCTCCTCTATTTTTTTACTATATGCAGGTTGAAACGTTCTGATATATTTTCGTCGCCCATACCGGATATGCCAACTTGACGGTCGGGGGCAGGGTGTAAGATAGACAGGTGGGGAAACGAGAGCCGAATGAGCGACCGCATTGTGTCCCCCTCGACTTCTTTTTTTCTGTGGCGCCATCTATGTAGACCACCGCGAACTCTCAATCCGTGTGGGCGACCGATGGCGACTGGCTAAACTGACGGAGATGGTTTCTCGTGGATTTTCAATGAAGGACTTTCGAGTTCTCGGTTTATTTTGCGCACTCTCCCATAAAGTTCCGCGCAAATCCGATTCCGATTTTTTTCCTCTCGCCGCAGCGCCATCTGTCGTAAGTCGGGGGTACCCGGAAGCAGACGAGTATACAATCCGGTCACGGCGCTGCGGTAGGCTTCTATGGGCCGTTTCCCCACCTGTCTATCTTACACCCTGGTCGGGGGCGAGAGTAAGTGGAAAAGGACTGTATTGGGAGAGTTTGGCCTGTGGGTGTGGTGACGAAGGCGCCGGAGAGGAGAAAAGTGAAGGAAAGGGAGGAAAGCGCCGAAGGAGCGAGAGAGAAAGAAGGAAGCAAAGAGCAGACGACCGCCATTTTTACGCAACGCTGTCGGCGCCCAGCACTGTTGATGCTACGCGTCGTCTGCTAAGGGCTTATTTCTTTTTCGCCTGAATAAAGGTTTGGGTTCAAACATGGAGAAACTTCATTCGTTAGCTTCTTAAGCCAGCAAGGAATAGCACTATATAATTTTCTTGCCAGAGCCTGCCAAGTAAAAGGAAAGAGCCGAAATGTGGATGTCGATCCCATGCATTCCGCCGGGCAAATGAATGAAAATGGCGGCCGTCCCCGCTCAGCTGGGAGCAGCCGGGATTCGGGGTAGGGGCCCACGGTACAATAGCGACAAGCGCATTCTCGCTGAGTGGGAGAGTCTGCGAGGGATCGCCAATCAGTGAAGGTGTCCTAAAAGTTGGAAAAGCTAAAACAAAACGAGAAACTAAAACTTTTACCTCTGTCGGCAATTTAAACTTTTGCTGATCTCAAAAGGGGTTAGGTACCGCCAACTAATGGCGAATTCGGGTGGTCAATCGCCGGCGAGCTCACGCCGGCGGCACAGGCAACGAAAACCGCGCCAGCGGCGCACCACGTGACCCTCTCCACCCGAACACAAAGCGCCTGCAACTGGCGTTTTCGTCTGCCTGGGTCGCTCGTGTACTTCGTTAACTTCTTCCACGATTATTTTATGATACAATAGGCACGCTCTAGGCATCAGCAACATATATTCGGACTCTGAGATGTGGGTAAACAAATTGTAATATATTTTGTTTAGATTCTCGAGGAACTGTTGCCATCTTACAAGGATCCTAGAAGGCTCACCAGCGTCGCCATTTTATATTCCATTTTCTTGTTATTACCTTTTTGCTGGAATACTCAGCATTTTGATTTGACCCAGCCCTCTAAAATAGTAATGCGCGTTCAAGTGTCGAGCTGCAGCACTATCAATACATTTTTTACAGCGGTGTAATAACACGCTGTGTCCCATAGGAAACTGATCTTGCGGAAGCTTCCTTTAAAATATTTTATCTTTATCTCCGTTGTTTTTGCTGTCTTTCTCGGACCACAGAGGGGTGTCTGTCTCAGTGGCTTCGTTTTCTACTAGAACACGCTCTCGGCGACCATTGTTTCGTTTGGTTCCCTTTCCCGATTCGGATATGACGATACCGGATACAGTCTGGCAGACAAGCTGCCCGACCTCTTGGAGCTCGGGCAAAAATTGTGCCGGTAAATTGCCAGCACACGCCTGAGAACTGCCACCCGAACGGCGCGCACTCGCCAGCCTTTGACCACGCGAACGCCCTTGGCGGAGATATGGCAAAATATTTTGCCGGGAAATGACCACGCGAATTCGCCATAACTAACTAACTAAGCGCGTTCGGTGCACCCAACATAATGTGGCCGCCGCGTCGGACAGAGAGTCATCACCTAAATGTTTCTTCCATCTTGGGTATGACTACAAACCTGGGTGTTTTTTTAACGTGAACTACGGAGTAATGATCACACGAGTCTAGCTAGACTGAAAGGTAAATGATGTCGCAAATGATTTAAAGCGGCTATTTACAGTACCAGATATTTTCCTGAAAGTTTTTTCGACAACGCCAGCGATACGGTATGCGTACAGTTAGTGTACAGTGTACTATGCGAAGATTAAAATGATGACACGGATAAGGATGAATTTGAGCGCCACGGCGCGGAGCGTGGGAGTTTCGGTACGCTGGAAATCTATTCAGTGACTCTAGTATGTGTATATCCCTGCCATCCCTCTTTTTTCTTTTTCACCCACTCCTGCCTGGGCCCTGACGGGGCATGGGATATTGTGAAATAAAATAAAAATGAATAATGATTTCGCATCAGAAAGCTAATCTGAGCTGTCGATGCAACAATCTGTCGATGAAACATCCAGTGTCGATGAAACGATCTGTCGATAAAACGTCGTTCGATTAAGTGAATGCCACCCGTTCGGAAATTTATGTTGGTCCTTTGTACCCCTTGTTCCTCTTCTCCGGGGATTATTATCGCTATTCATGTCCAACTCGCTTGCACCTTTGCATTATTTGCATTATCATCAAGCATTAAACCGTTTAAAATTCGACCTAGGGCTCTCGCGTTTCCTAAGATATATTAAAAAATAAGATTATGGGAGTGGCATATATCACCTATTTATCAGGCAGACGAAAAAACAAAAAAAAAAACAAATGGTACAGTTAGTTTTAGCGGATGGTTGGATCGCCTTAGAGAGTAGTGCTACGATTCTTCACCTGAAGAATTGTAGCAAAACAAATTTTGCTCCTCGCGGAAGGTTGCTCATTTTCATACTTGGGTAGTAATTCAATTACAGTAATTGAATTACTGTTATTTAGTTACTTTTTCTGATAATTTGTAATTGTAATTAATTACTTTAAGCTAAAGGGAATTGTAATTGTAATTTAATGACTTTCTAGCGTCAGTAATTGCAACATTTCAGGCAGAATTATAATTACTTTGCAAGATTTTACGGCGTCGGCACTTTTTCTCCCCTGACTACGGGGACGGCAGTACAGCCTAAGCGACAGGGGAGAGAGTGTTTCCCAACCTGCTCAAAAGGAGGGAAAGGAGGAACGGGAAGAAAAGGGTGGAATAGAACGGAATGAAGGGTTTTGTAAACTGTAAAACGATTTAATGAAAATTTTGAGAAATAATTTGATAAATGAGGGCTATATTCCCGTCGGTTTTTGTTCGGATAGCAGTTGAAATCTGTCTCTTCATCTCGTTCGCTTCCTATTGATCGTGTTCCTAGGGGTCTCTCTTGTTTCTCATTCCCCTCAGGGGGCATCGGGTTCGAAGTCGAGCTGGTACGTCTCCGATCACATCATCCGGTCGAGGCGAAAGGTTCGAGGTTCTCCTTACGCGTCCGTCGCTAGCATATTCGCTTACATATTTCAGTCAAGGGTGGGGATTTTACCGTATTTACTCGATTAATAGCTGCACTATTTACGAACAAGGCCCTTGCGTCTACTTTCGCCCAGAACACAAATACAGTTAATCTTCGCTTTGTGCATAAATAACACAGCGAATAACTAGATCGCGAACACGGTTCTCCATACAAATGCAATCTTCAGAGATGGTATCTTTGCGCGAAGGCGTTATCTCTGTCCTGTAAACCGCTAGAATCATGCTGTCGATCGCGATGATTGGCAATCCGCGTGTTCCGAGGAAAAGCGAACCCTCAGGCTTTCTTCACAAACGGTGCGGCTAATACTCGAGTGAATACGGTATTGTCCACGAAATTATTCTCTTTTCTTTACGAGTTCTTCACGTCCCTCTACTCTAGCTTGTCTGTTGGTACCACTCACAGTAAGTTGTGCTACTCTAACATCGAGGCGAAGAAGCAGCAGGTCTCGTTAACACGACTCACCCCACCTTACTTCCAACCGCTGTTGCTACACTGCTCTTCCCTCTCCCAATCTTCGTCTACCTTTCCGCATAAATTTTCATTATTTACTGTTTGCTCCAACCCCTAACCCTTTCAACCGTTTCTCAACCTGATTGGACGAGATTCCTAAACTTTACAAACCGCAGTTTTAGACTGTCAAGAGCTTGTTCTGAAATAAAATATAAATATAAAAATTGATTTTTATTTACTGCGAATATAAGAATGCAGGAGTTTATTACTCCAAACTGTTAAGTT